GCTCAAGCAGTCTTTCCACATTGGCCTCCCAAGTCTCTGGGACTTTTTTTTTTTTTTGTAGAGACAGGGTCTTGCTCTTGCTTAGGCTGGTCTTGAACTCCTGGCCTCAAGCAGTCCTCCCGCCCTGGTCTCCCAGAATGCTAGGATTACAGGTGTGAGTCATTGCACCTGACCTTGCATTTTTTTCTCTTCTATGAATTGCTATCATGTGGCTGTTTTCTTTTATTTGTCACAATTAATTTGTACTTTTCATACATGCATTGGCCTACAGTTTGTATGCCAATGTTTGTGGCATTGCTTACGTAGTTTGTTCTGGGGAGATTTTATGGGATCTTTAGAAACCAGACATCTTCTCTTCCACAGGAGGACCATGTCATTAGACTTTGGCAGCATGGCGCTACCGACACAGAATGAAGACGAAGAATATGACAAAGAAGACTATGAGAGGGAGAAAGAGGTACGCCACTCAGAAAGGCCCCACGCTACACCTAATCCCTAACGACCTTTATTCCTAGTCTAAATCATACCACCTTGTGCCATTTTTGAAGGGATTTATAATTGTTTTTTTCCTCTTTAAAAATAACAAACAACCCTAAAACCCGATCAATTTTTGGACTTTTAGAAGGCAGATGAGTAGAATGCTTCCTTTTTTTTTGAAACAATAAAACACAACTGTGAATGATGTTACCAAAAAAATGGTTGCTTTTTTTTTTTTTTTTTTTTGAGGCAGAGTCTCATTCTGTTTGTTGTCCTAGGCTAGAGTACCCTGGTGTCACAGCTCACAGTAACCTCAAACTTTTGGGCTCAGGTGATCCTTAATGCCTTAGCTTCCCAAGTAGCTGAGAGGACAGGTGCTTGCCACAAGGCCCAGCTAATTTTTCCTATTTTAGTAGAGATGGGGTCTCACTGTTGTTCAGGCTGGTCTCGAACTCAAGCGACCCACCTGCTTCAGCCTCCCAGAGCATTAGGATTATAGGGATGAGCCATGGTGCTCATCCTGGTTAAATTTTAAAAAGTCTTTTCATTTAGGGGGTAATGGTTGGCTTTGGAAGCAGAAACCTAGTTTCTAGGTACTTGGAGCCTTGCTGTGGACAAGGCTGGCAAGGCTCTTTGCTTCAGGTAGTTTACATGTTAGTGGAAACAGATCATAAACAGTGAACAAGTGAATAAAGTAATTTGAGTAGCAGTAGTAGTGTTACTGTGGAAGTCCGTGTACTTGTTACGATTGTTCTTAGTTTGAGTCATTTCTTGATTGACTATGATAAAAAACTTCTTTGTTCCTGAGACTGTTTTTGATAGCACCCATTTCTAACTATGTAGAATAATCCTTTTTAATACAGTGCTGTGGATCATCAGTAGGGAAAAAAGGAATAGGGCCAATTGGCCATCACTCATGTGGCTGGCAGTAGAATTATAGTAGAGATAGAAAATGAGCAGCTTGCTGGATTTTGTCCATAACAGGTATTGTTTGGTTGCACAGTGCTTTAAAAAATTGAATCTATATTTAAAGATTGGAAAATTTCATGGAGTACTCCAGAGTTCGTGGCTTGCCTTAAAATATTCAAAGCTCTGGCCACACCTCGCCTGTGTTTGTCTATGGCAGCAGGCGGGCTGGAGCTGAGTGGTGACTCCCTTTCCTAGCTGGCCGCAGTCCCCACTTTGCACACAGACACAGGCTTATGTGCTCAGACCTGCCTGCTTCACTCTTGTGAATTCTCTGCCAGGTCCCTGAGGGCACTTGAGTTTGTGACCCTGGTGGGGGTTTCTGGATTTTGGCAGGGTCCCTCACAACAATTGTGGCAAGGACGGGAATGAGGATTTTCTATTACTTTTTGAACCTGTAGCATGAGGTTTTCATGACTGTGATGGCTTGGATAGTTGGCTGGGATTTAGCCACTGGGATTCCTGAGAGGGTCAGTTTAAGTAATCACTTCTGTAAAGAAGAAAAAATATTTTGACAGGTGATTTTTCATTGGAAAAAATATTAGAGAGATGCATAGTGTATTAGAGAGAGCTTACTGCCAGTGTATTATGTGGTGAAAATTTTAAAGGGGGTTTTAATTAAGGAGGTGATTAATTCTAGATAATATAGAAATTAGCCATTGGAATTACCTCTTTGATAGATTGTTTGCTGAGGTAGAGAATTTCCAGAGGAAACAAGGGTTCTTAAAAGATGACGTATCTAAGAATAAGGCCTGCTGGGACAGGGGAGGGAAGAAATATGTAGCTAATTTGACTCTAACATGATGATTATGGTGATATTAAGAAACCTCATGTTAATAAATGTTTTTACTTTTTAAATTTTTAAATTTTTTTCTGGAATTCTAAAATATTCTTGAATGTTTTTACTTTAAGAAAATTTTTGCAAGGGAAAAAGTGAGTTTAGAAGCCAGAGAGTTTCTGATTTTCAGTAATAAAATTCAGGATTATTGATAAAACATTTACCTGTATATATACTTTGTCACTGCAAGTTAAAAAAACACATTGTCTGATCAAACACAAGCTTGCTTGCATATTCTAAAACCTTTTCAACCCTTCTAGGTGTCTATGACTCTACAATAGCCAAAAAGTTCACAGCCTTAAGAGATTAAAGAAAAGAACTATTTCTTCCTGCCTATCTGGTTGGTAGTTCTGGGATTGCGGTCAGGGTATAACTTTTAGCAGTGGGCTAATGTGTATTGCTTTCTCTGCTTAGTGAATCACTGTGTTCAGTTCACTTATGTAGGAGAAATGTCTTTATCCCCAGTACCAAGCATAGCACATGTGACTCAGTCTGTCCTCTAAGGGCTTGTGAGAGCTTCTCTCTGTAAATGGTAGGATAGTTTTGATTTTGACCTTGTAATGAATGGCCATTTGCTAATACAACATGTCTTCCTAAACTATTTAATTTTGTTCCTTTGATGCTAGTAGGGATTTTGTTAACATTTGCTCATATCTCTGAATAAGGCATCAGCAAACTCCGTCCTCTTATACCATCCTCATTAGCAGCTTTCAATTTCTAGTTCCACAATTATTTCCATTTCTTTTCCCTCCATTGGTTGCGTTGATCAAATGGAGAAGTGTACTTAGTCTTCAGAAAAGGAAAGGATTTTGTAAATATATGATTGACTGTGGAGAGGACATTTAGACCAGTGGAATCTCAAGTCACAGATCACCGTAAACAGATCCATATTTTAAAGAAAAACTCCAAGAATTTTTCAGAAAAGCAAGACATCATAATCATTTCTAAATTGCTGTGACTCTTAGTGGTACATTAGTAGATGTTGGCCCACTCTGGGCCAACACATAGCAGAGTGATGCGTAACCCACAGCTTCTCACAGTGTTCCCAACGAAACTCCGTCTCTTGCACAGTTGACAGAGCAGATTAGGGTGCGAGTAAGGGCGGTGACACCATGGAGATATGAGATCATTTCTGTTAATATCAATTGATTGTCACATGTTACTCATCCTCAGAGTTTACTGGAGTATATTACTTCCTTGCTGTATCCCTTCAGAGCTGCCAATCTAGTTGTCCTTCTTGCTACTAAGTAGACGTCATCCGGAACAAACTTATGAAAGCTAGACCAGAAGAGAAGAATTCAAATCTCTTTTATTAACTCACTCATAATATAACAATGTGACTTTGTGAAATATATTCTACCCAAAGTCACTGTGCTTTGTGATTTCATAGTTGGATATTCTAGAGATGTGGTTCTTATTCTTTTGGTCATAGAAGTATTTGTTATACATTCTTAGGTATTAGGAAAGCCACAGCCTAAGGTAGATTGTCATTGGGAATCTCAAAGTCTGCTGGAGCATATATATATATGTATAAGTACATATATAAGTATATATATATATACTTTCTTCAGTGTCACCAGAAGTAGCTCTGTGATTTTTGCTTGGTTCTAGATAGTAAAATTATCTATGTATTATGTATGTATATATTCTGGAGCTGGTGATCTGGGACAGAAATACTAGCTCAATTGTGATATCAAGATAGTATTTACTGATGCTGGGTTATTTAGTGATGGTGTATTCAAGATGATCTTCTGTGGAAAGGTAGGTGGTTTAAGCAGCAGATGGCAGACAGAAACTTGCCCCTGGCAATATGGGTTTGAGTTCCTCTTGGTATTTATATTGGTGTTTCTCTAATAGAATAATAAAGCTCCCCTGAGCTTGGAGTCATGTATTTCAGGGGCAAGGTTTCCATTGCTTAACCTTTCTTCCACTTTTTTCTTCAAAAACTGCCTATTTTATGGAAGCATTTTGATATTTTGTGTCCACTAGAGGGAAGTGTTAAGCTATTGTACTATTTGTTTACATTCAGCATGTATCCATGAAAGCATTATTTAATAATTCATATTAGGTTATTAAGTAAGAAATACCTGATTTCCTTACATACTAAGTTTGAGAGTTGATGTCTCTGACATTTCACTTTGACACTTATTACTATTTTAATTATGAAGGCTTATCCACATTTTAAATGTGCATTTTGGCTTGTGATTATCTTTTAGCTTTTTTTTAAGAGCAATTTTTTTTTTTTTTTTTTTTTAGACAGAGTTTCACTATGTTGCCCTCAGTAGAGTGCTGTGACATCATAGCTCATAACAACCTCAAACTCTTGGGCTTAAGCAATTCTCTTGCCTCAGCCTTCCAAGTAGCTGGGACTACAGGTGCCTGTCACAACACCCAGCTAGTTTTTGTTGAGGTTGTCATCATTGTTGTTTAGTTGGCCCAGGCTAGGTTCAAACCCGCTAGCCTCAGCGTATGTGGCTGTCTCCGTAACCACTGTGCTATGAGTTCCATCCGTGGAACCAATGCAACACGGACAGCTCAAAGTATCAATGAAGTGTTTGGGAAGGATTAGGATAATGAATGCACAGTACATCGATGGTTTGAGAAGTTCCGTTTTGGTGATTTTAATCTTGAAAATGAGCCATGTGGGTGACCTGAGAGCAGGGTAATAATGATGAATTGAAAGCTGTAGTGGGAGCAAATCTATCTCAGCCTATGTGTGAGTTAGCTGCAAGCTTTGATGTTTCTATTCTAACAATATTGGATCATTTGAAACAAATGGCAAGGTAAAGAAGCTGGATGGATGGCTTCTACATGAATTAAATGAGCTTCAGGAGAGAAACTGTCTTGAAGCTTGCCTCTCTTTGCTGTCACGACACGAAGATGAACACCATTTCTCTAATATTGGTGTGTGTGATGAAAGTGGCTTCTTTTTGGTAATACAAGCATTCAGCTCAATGGTTGGATAAAGATGAAGTGCCAAAACATAGTCCAAGACTGAATATTTATCGAAAAAACCTAATGATGTATGTTTGGTATCCAGTGTTGGTATTATCCAACATAACTTCATGAAGCCTGGTCAGTCTATTACAGCTGATAAATACTACAGGGATGATTTTGCTTGTTAAAAAGTTTACTTCTGGATCCAGAGGCATTTGATTAGCTGATTGCTCAGATTACTTTTCCTTTATGGATGCCAGTTTTGTTAATTTTGTGGTGTCACAAAGAAAGCTACAATAGCTGCTTAATCATTATATAGTTCCCCTGTTTTTGTAAGGGGAAAAAAATATATTGTTGAGATGTCCCTATCATGGTTCCTCTGAATTATAAGGTTGTGTACTTGAACCTCACTGAAGATTTAGAAGAAAATATTCTTTCTGTCTACTGCAGCCAGATGAACAACATGATGAGGATGCTTGTTATTAAGTGGCTGAGATTGGCCAATCCTCTTGCCAGACAACACTGTCACACAAACAACACTGCCCAAACTACAGAAGCGGGACTTGGAAACTCTCTGTCATCCACCAGAGTCACCAGACCTTGCACCAAATGACTACCACTTCTGGGTTTGGGCCACTTCTTGCAAGGAAGAATATTCAATTCTCAATAAGCTGTGGAAAAGGCCTTTCATTATTATTTCATCTCTGCTGCCTCTCCAGGCTTTTTCACTGCTAACATAAACAAGTTACCATAAAGATGGCAAGACTGTGGTGATAGTTGGGTGCATACCTTGATTAATTATACTGCTTCTTGTTTGAGATATAATAAACCAAACTTTTGATTCAAATTTGGACATTTCGTATTTAATGATCTAATATTTTTATTTTTATTAATTTATTTTTTAAATTTTTACCCGTCAAAAGACAAAGAAACCTAATACTTTAAACTATCAGAACCTTTCCAGAAGCATATTGAATGAAGAATCCTGTTCAAAGGGAAGAGGACTGTTAGCTATTCCATTTGTTGCTTTTCTCTTGGGAGAAGATTATGGTTTGTAATTTGATGATTTGTGCTTTCATGAATATGGGGGGATTATAGTCTTAGGATACAATCTGTTTAGTTAATTTAAGTTGAAAATCCTAACAAAAGGTTTACATGTTCTTTGTTTTACATTATCCCTGAAAATAGGCTTTTTGGGTGTTCTCCATGAGTTGTAAATTGTTTTGTCGAAAAAGTTCTTTGAGTAAAATGCCTTTTTTTTTTTTTTAAATGGTTAGGAATGAAATATGATGTGGAAAGGGAGAGGAGTCAGATTTTATTTCAACTAAAGCCTTGGCAATGGCAAATGATCTTTTTTCTAGTGAAGGTATCTCTTGAATGTAAAACTCAGTTGATACATAATCACTGAGAAGATTGCTACTTGTAACCAAAAAGCAGTATGATGAATGTGAAATTAACGAGTGGGATTAAATCTTGTCATTTATTAAGTATTGTGATCTCTGTCTTTGAATCTGTATTTAGAAGTTGGGTGCATCTTTAATGAGGAAAATTTGTAGTTTCCAAAGTTCCATATTTGGTAACATGGATATGGCAGTTTTGTGTTTTATGGCACAAGGTTTGATGACAAAAAAGCAAAACCTATTTGACACTGTATATGAAGAGGGTACATTTTGATTGTGGGAAGTGGAAATACTGGGAATGGGATTTTGTTCCTAAATGACCTTACTAGGACTGGACTTCGTTTAGCTTTTCTGTGCCTTGAAAATGGTATTAATAGAAGCCAAGGACTATGACCCAGTTAGACCAAAGAACTTGATGGAGACCTTTTTTGAAGGTGAATGAAACTATTTTATAATGTTAGCATACATACAAAATATCTTACAAGATTCTAAATAGACTACAGGGATGATTATGCTTGTTAAAAAGTTTACTTCTGGATCCCGAGGCATTTTGATTAGCTGACTGCTTATGCTCAGATTACTTTTCCTCTATGGATGCCAGTTTTTTTAATTGTGGTATCACAAAGAAAGCTACAATAGCTGCTTAATCATTTAAAAAAAAAAAATGTACTGCTGAGATGTCCCTCTCATGATTCTCCTGAATTATAAGGTTGTGTACTTGAACCTCACTGAAGGTTTAGAACAAAATATTCTTTCTGTTCAGGAATCTTTACCTGATATAAATGCAAAGGATTTATTCTATGGTTATTTTTCCCTGTGTCACAGGTGGGGGTAGTCTTTTTTCTTAAAGTAGCGATGCATTATGGACAAAACAGGTTGGGCTACTTTTAAAAGACCTCATAGATGGGATGTTTCTTCTTTTCCCCCCCAGTACATTTTGTGTCTTTGTAGAGTTACTTCTGCCACCTTTCACTTGAGGCACGTAGTTTACTAATATGTCGATGTGCTTTGTTTTTAGTGCATTTCTTTTGTGTTTCTTGTTCTTGACATCTTTACGTCAATTCTGACTATGGCTAATTCTCAAAGTGAGTTTTTAAGCACTCTGAATGTGCAGATGGGCAGCCAATCAAGATCTTGATTGTTAATATTGGCATCAAACAGATTTAGGGAAGAAGATAAATTTTTGTTGAAGAGAGTATCTTTCTCTTGTTTCATCTTTAAAGAACCAAATGGATTGAGAAAAACCTTAAAAAAAACCCCACATACATTGAATATCAGAAATCTATATGGAGAGAGGAAATGTCCCACCTCACACATTCCATTCCCATTCTCTGTATTTTAACAATTGGGGCATTCCTTTCAGACCTTCTTTAGAATATGCTCATTTAACTTTTTCCATATATATTTTGTTTGGGAAGTTTCTTAAACTTGGATTTGTTTTATAGCTATATTCCATTTCTTTTATACTAATGACAGAGAAAGTGGGGGGAAAAAATTGTTATAGACCAGGAAGCATCTCTCTCTCTCTTTTTTTTCTTCTTCAAGGTTTTACAGGGTATTTAACATGTTTAAAATTCACGTGTTTCATAATTGTATGGGTTTGATTTATGTATTGTGAAGGGACTTAGCTTGTTAATTCAGTTGGTGGTTAGTTTCTTAAAGAGAAGTCATTAGCAGTCCCCCTATAATTTAGTAACAGAACATTTGATATTCTGATTGTCACAAGTTTTAAGGTACTTTATGAGATTTGAAGAAAGACAATTATTGTATATAGAGTGAAATTTAGCAAATTAGACTACTCATTTTTTCAATCACAGTTTATCTTGAAACTTGAATGAATTTTGTCTGGTTAGTTTATGTAGGCAGACTGCTAAAATTATGCTGTTTCTGCAGAGTGAAGTCAAATTTTTAATGTCAATGGTGTTATGCTTTTGAATGTCCTATCTGTAGAAAACTGAATCTTGCAACTCTCCTCTTACTCAGATGTTCTATAAGAGCAGAGTATTATATGTCTTTTCATCAGTGGGATTAGCTGGCTGTCTCCTGATTCAGCCACCCCAAGAAGTTTCTATCATATTATTAGAGCTTTCAAGGGCTTCTGGGCCACCTGTTGCTGCCGTTGTTCCTCTCACCTGGGCAGAGTGCATCTGGCTACTCAGATTCCCCGTAGTATGTCTGATTGTCTAGTCCTAACGTCTGATTACTAGTAAAATAGGATTCTGAAACTCAGTCTGCCCTGTGAGAACAATACAGTGGTTATACCATTATTGTGACTGGCTGTGTTTGCATAAAACAGTTTTAAAACTCTGTTGTATGTGTATTTAAATCTAAGACCTTTGTAGAAAAAAAAGGCTTCTGATCTAAATTCTGACATTATGCCACTCCCTTTTCCCCAAGTGAAATGATGGACATAATTTGTGTGGAATTTAAGCAATTGATGAAAGGAAGAATTAGGAATTTCTTTGATTTCTACAGTCAAGAATCACTCATTCCAGGGGAGTATTGGTTTGGCATCTTGTATTGACGTCAGTGTGACATTGATGCAGACTTTTCCGCCTCAGTTGCAGCAGCTTCTCACAGACCTTCCTCATGATATGCTGGACGATGACGACCTCTCCTCCCCCGACCTCCACTATTTGGACTGCAGCGAGGATGACGCAGAGGAAGAGTAAGTACCGACATCACTTAGACTTCTGTATTGCAAGTCGATAAGCCTTTTTCTTTTGATTCTCTGCAGATAATAACAATGTACATGATTATACAGTGGTAGACAGATTCTTAACATTTTGAGTAAAGGTTAGAGGGAAAACATGAACATCTTGGGATTGTTTATGTTATTTATATCCAAGTAAACAATAGTCTTTACATCTAAAGTATTGATTTTTCTCAAGACCGCACCATCCTGAGCAATCGGAGAGGAACTGGCATGAACATCAAGTGCTGCCCAAATCTCAAAGTGTAAGTGTCAGGTGCGATCACGACCTTGGTGAGGGTGGGAGTAGATCTTAGTGCTTTTGTTTTACTCTTGTTATCTGACAGGACTATACAGAAATTCAGGGTTTCTTCATTGGAGAAAAATGTAATGGCTGGGAAGAAAATCCGAGAAAAACTGAAGACCGACACGCTGGGTACCATCCTGAAGAAGGTGGAGATGAAGGCGGAAGTGGCTACAGTCCTCCCAGTAAATGTGAACAGACTGATTTGTATCACCTTCCCGAAAACTTTAGACCATACACCAATGGTCAGAAGCAGGAATTTAACAGCCAACCGACCAATGTAATTAAATTTTCAGATCCCCAGAGGAACCATTTTCAGGTATCGTTGAAAACTTGACTTTCAAGAATTAGCATGTGTTTGCACAGGTATCTGCATGATGTATGTGTGTGTTTAAAACCTGCATGTATGTAAGTGCAGTGGTGAAATGATGTATTTTAACTATACAGATTTCCGAGAGTGTGCTAATTCAGGCTCGTGGTCATGCTGAATTAGTCATGCTGTTTTCTGTTTATAATCTAATACAATCGTAATCTTAAGTGAGAAGTTTAAAATGGAGGTTCTTTGGAAACAGTTATTTAAACATTAAAAATTAAGTCTGCCAAAGATTAACTGTCCTCAGTTACTGCTGCTTCTGGCTTCTACCAGTTCAGGATGACAGCAGTTAGTTTCCTCAATTTTCTTGCTTACCAGTTATAACAAACTTTTTTTTTAGTTTAATCATAAATAAATAGATCATGTATACATTAATGCATTATGGGGTACAGTGTGCTGATTTCATATAGAATTAGGAACTCTTACATCACACTGGTTAATAGATACCTCATCTTGTTTACTAATATATACCTCATCTCGTTTACTTAGTTATTGTGTTAAGACACTTATACTCTATACTAATAGATCCGACATGTACCCTTGCATTATGTACCCATAGGTGTGATCCCACCATTCACCCTCCCTCGATCTGACCTCTCCCCTCCCCTCCCACCCCCCACCTCCATCCTTCATCTTGGGCTGTAGTTGTGATCTGTTCTTCATATGAAAGTGTGTGATTGTAAATTGGTTTCATAATAGTACTGAGTACATTGGATATTTTTTCTTCTATTCTTGAGATACTTTACTAAGTAGGATATGTTCCAGCTCCATCCCTGTAAATGTAAAAGAGGTAAAGTCTCCATCTTTTTTTAGGCTGCATAATATTCCATGGTATACTTATACCACAATTTATTAATCCATTCATGAATCGATGGGTACTTGGGCTTCTTCCATGACTTGGCTATTATGAATTGAGCTGCAATGAACAATCTGGTGCAAATATCTTTGTTATAAAGTGATTTTTGGTCTTTTAGATATACACCTAGTAGAGGAATTGCAGGATCATACAGCAGGTATCCTTTTAGATCCCTGAGTTTTCTCCATACTTCTTTCCAAAAGGGACGTATTAGCTTGCACTCCCACCAGCAGTGCAGAAGTGTTTCCTTTTCTCCACGTCCACACCGTCATCTGTAGTTTTGGGATTTTGTTATGTGAGCCACTCTTACTGGAGTTAGATGACATCTCAAAGTGGTTTTGATTTGCATTTCTCTGATGATTAAAGATGATGAGCATTTTTTCATGTGTCTGTAGGCTATGCACCTATCATCTTCACAGAAGCTTCTGTTCAAGTCCCTTGTCCACAATGAAATGGGATCACTTGTTCTTTTCTTATTAATAAGTTTGGGTTCTCTGTGGATTCTGGTTATCAAACCTTTGTCAGAAGCATAACCTGCAAATATCCTCTCCCATTCTGAGGGCTGTCTGCTTGCTTTACTTACTGTGTTCTTGAGTGTGCAGAATCTTTTTAGTTTGATCAGATCCCAGTAATGTATTTTTGTTGTTGCTTCAATTGCCTGGGGGGGGGGTGGAGGGCTCCTCATAAAGTATTATCCCAGGCCAATTTCTTCAAGTGTTTCTCCGGCACTCTCTCCAAGAATCTTTATAGTTTCATGTCGTAAGTTTAAATCTTTTATCCAGTGAGAGTCAATTTTTGTTAGTGGTGAAAGGTGTGGGTCCAGTTTCAGTCTTCTACAAGTCACCAGCCAATTCTCCTAGCACCATTTGTTAAATAGGGAATCTTTCCCCCAGTTTACATTTTTGATGGGCTTATCAAAGATCAAATGACAATAATTGTCTGGGTTCATCTCTTGGTTCTCAATTCTGTTCCATATATCTACCTGTTTTTGTGCCAATACCATGCGGTTTTGATCTCTATAGATTTATAGTATAGTTTGATGTCTGGTAGTGTGATTCCTCCTGATTTGTTTTTATTTCTGAGTAATGTCTTGGCTATTTGAGGTTTTTTTCTGGTTCCATATAAAACAAAGTACTATTTTTTCCAGATCTTTGAAGTATGATGGTGGTGCTTTGATAGGGATTGCATTAAATTTGTAAATTGCTTTGGGTGATATGGACATTTTAACAATGTTTATTCTTCCTAGCCATGAGCATGGTATGTTTTTCCATTAGTTTATAGCAAACTTTAGGTTAAGCATTTCAAAGCCAATATCTGTTTTGTATGATGATATGTCAGTAGACAGAATGAATATTATGCACCTTGTTTTTTCCTGTGGGAGAGTTTACTGAAGTAAGATCTCAGAATACAGTTAGTTGTTTCTTAGAATTTCTTAATGACAACAAATGCCTCATTTTGCCAATAGGTATTTTGTGGCACCCAATGATGGGATGGTTTTGTGGACCTTGTAAGGTGCTTATTTTCTCTTGAGTCTATCTCTGTGGAATGTTCTTCATTGCACAAAAGTTGCTGAATATGTATTATAAATGAAGCTTTGCATCACACGTGCTGTTGCTGAGGATGTTCATTTGTATGTTCCCAAGATGCTGGCATCATCTAAATCATTTGTTATAAAATATTCAGATATAATCTCATTGGAATTCTTGAGTTTTATTTATGAAATCAGCTCCATTATGTGCTCAAAAGTATAGTTAAAGTATTTATAATTTATACATTGCAGACTCCTAATTAAATAACAATAGTGTTAAATAATAAGTGATAATTTTGAGCATATATATGTATAAAATATGTAATTGTACCATAATTAAGTTCTGTAACACAAAATTAAGGTGTCTAATTCAGATAATTTTTGAAGAGAAGGCCATATTTTAATTCGAAATTTCATTTCATCTTATAACAGCCATTTGGTTCATCACAAGGTCCCAGTTGTCAAGCTTTGGAATCATATAAAGTGACATATAAACCTTATCAGCCTTCTGCCCAGAATAACGGTGCACCTGCCCAGGAGATAGCAGGAAGTGACACATTCGAAGGCCTGCAGCAACAATTTTTAGGAGCTAATGAAGGTAGGTATCAGGTTTACTTTTTGATAGCATGGTTGGGGAATTTTGAACCCTACATGGATATTTGAGCATATTCAAGAATTGTTTTTTAAGTATAACAATGGACTAGTGATTGATATTTCAGAGAGCCCTTAATTTTACAGAAAGATACTGAAGTACTTCTAAACCAACTATATGAAGTCTAGGATTTACTTTAAAATAATATGTTGTTGGAGGATGATGTTGGTTGGATATATATTTGCTCCTGGAAGCAAAACTAGCCAGGAGTTCATAGTTGCTGAATTTGGGAGATGGGTTCTTGGGGATTCGTTGTGCTATTCTCTCTACGTCCTTGTGTGTTTGAAATTTTCCACAATGAAAAGTTAAAGAAAACTTTTCTCAACTGTATATTTCAGTCATCCTACTTAAAATGTTCTCATTCGTGAAGTGGTTAATATGCCTGCCTGTCATTCAGGAGATGGGGTTCATTTGAAATAAAAAAAAATGTTTTTATGAACTTCATTTTTTTATTTGAAGACTAATTTAGAAATTGAAATATAGGGCAGTGCCTGTGGCTCAAAGGAGTAGGGTGCAGGACCCATATGCCAGAGGTGGTGGTTCAAACCCAGCCTTGGGCAAAAACTGCAAAAAAAAAAAAAAAAAAAAGAAATTGAAATATAGATTTCTTGTCTATCTCAGATTTTTCATTACACGTATTATAGAAATGTAATTTAATTGGCTTTAGTGCTAAGAGGGGTAAAAGAAAAATAAATGTAATTTAGTAAATCAGCCTTTATCATCTTAACTTTTGATTTTACAATTTTAGTATAATAATAAGGTATGTGATATAAGTTACTTTATATTGAAGATTAGACTTCAATTTCAGGTTCAGTTGTGTGACATTTGGCAAAAAAAATTTTGGGATCATGTATGTATAAATATGAGACTGAGAAAAGTGTTTACATCTACTAGAGAATTTTGAGATGAAATACTGGTATCAAAGAACAAAACCCCCAAACCAAAACTTGCACAGTGACTATGCTTAATTAGTGTTTTATAGTCTAACTTTTATTGTCATAATCTCTGGCATATTAAATAACTTATAATTATTGTATGTATTGAAGAATCAGTGTGATTATAGAGTATGCCAGTGTGTTTTTCTTTTTGTTTTTTCCTTATTTGGTTCATCACAAGGTCCCAGTTTGATGACTTTTCCCATCACAAGGGGGAAAAGTCATACTGAATATTCTGGGCTACCTGGGCTAGACTGAAGATAAACTGTGGACTTTATACCAATAACTTTTTTTTTTGTTCATTTTTCACTCAGTTGTTTAAAAGAGGTCCAGAAAATGACTTTATTTTTCAAAGAAGACTTCAAAATTCTTTATTAATCTATTCATTAGTTAATTCAAGAATTATGTTCCAGTATGAACATTAGTATGATAGTGATACCTTGTTTAAAATATTTTGAGAAGGAAGGTGGTGCCTGTGGCTCAAAGGAGTAGGGTGCTGGCCCTATATACCAGAGGTGGTGGGTTCAAACCCGGCCCCGGCCCAAAAAAAAAAAAAAGAAAACTGCAAAAAAGAAATATTTTGAGAAGGGTATCTAGAACTTTTCTTTCAAAATGATAGTATAGAAGCTGATGTTTTAAATTTTATGACAGCATATCACTCTCTTCTGTTGTAGTAGTTAGATTCTGATTTTAATTGGCCAAAATGGTAGTGATTGAGGTTTATATCCTAAACCAGGAACTTCAAACTTTCCTGGCAGTGACCCGTAGTTAGAAGTACATTTTTGAACATGGTGGTGCAGCCATGTTACATATCTACATGATGAAGTATACATAAGTGAAGCAAAAGTTTTGCAAAATAATAGTTATTCTTACTAAATGATACACTCTTATATGGTCTATTATATTCTATCTTTTTTCATTTTTTTTGAGACAGTCTGTGTCACCCTCAGTAGAGTGCTGCGGCATCAAAGCTCACAGCAACCTCTGACTCTTGGGCTTAAGAATTTCTCTTGCCTCAGCCTCCCAAGTAGCTGGGACTACAGGCACCTGCCACACGCCTGGTTAGTTTTTGGTGCTGTTGTAGTTGTTGATGTTTGGCAGGCGGGGGCCGGGTTTGAACCCGCCATCCTCAGCGTATGTGGCTGGCGCCCCAGCTGCTGAGCTACAGGCATCGAGCCTTCTATCTTTTTTCAAAAAAGTGCTGGTCACAATCCACTAAATTGATTTCATGATACTCTAATAAGTTATATTCACAGTTTGAAAAAACACTGCTTTAAGCGACCACAAATTTATGTTTTAATATACTTTTTATCTAATAAATCATCTTTAATTCTAAAGCAGATTCTGCAGAAAACATGAAAATTATTCAACTTCAGATTCTTAACAAAGCAAAAGAGAGACAACTAGAAAAGTTTGTTGAAAAGTTAAATGAAAGTGAACGTCAAGTTCGGTATCTGAATCACCAGCTTCTGATGATCAAAGGTAAGATAACAAGTGCTAGGTGCTGTTTATGAGATACACTAAAGATAGATGTGAGTTGTTATGGCAAACATATGGGATGAATTTAAGGTTAGGTGAGTTTATGAGTTCATTGCAAGTCTGTGTAGGATCATTAGTGTATTATAGATACCTTCTTTAATTAGCAGGGGTTTATCACCTCTGTATGTCTTCTCACGTAAACAAATGCTGAAATTGTTAGGAAATCTTTTGTCCCCCCAAGGGATATAGTAATATTTTTAAAGGAAGAGGTTCTGGTTCTGTAAGATTTTTTTTTGTGTGTGTGTGTGTCATTCAGGGATTTTTTTTTTTTTTCTAAATCATTTGGTTTTCCCTAAATTGACTAAAATTTATTTGTCTGAATTGAATTGAACTCAACAACATTCATATATGATATAGATCTGATATCTGATCGGGATTGTGATAATTGGTTTCCCGGTATGGTAACATATTATTTATATAAACATTTTTATACCTTAGATGAAAAGAATGGTTTGACCCTCAGCCTTCGAGAATCACAGAAACTCTTTCAGAATGGAAAAGAAAGAGAGATGCAACTTGAGGCCCAAATACAAGCACTAGAGGCCCAAATACAAGCTTTAAAAGTCAATGAAGAACAGGTATAACCTCATTATTTATAAGTTATTCAGTGAAAAGTTTAGCTACTTAATAGTACTTTTGGTAGCGTAGGACTAAATTCGTAAGAACTTTGAAGTTTGTATTTTCCTACACCATAAGCCTGCCTTTGGAGGAGCACTGCTACCATCCACCAAGTCCTTGTAGCTGTACATCCTGAGAAGACCTCAGCTCCTCTGTGTTCCTTCCTCTCATCAGCCATGAAATTTTTGGACAGTAGCTGGGACTACAGGTGCCCACCACAACACCCAGCTCTTTTTTTTTCCTGTTTTTAGTCTTGAACTCCTGAGCCCAAGGGATCCTCCCACCTTGGCCTCCCAGAGTGCTAGGATTACAGATGTGAGCCAGCGCACCTGACCTTCTTGAGTCTTCTCATGTCCATTCATTCAGGATTTTACCCTCTTATTTGTATAGGCTCCTAACTAGTCTCTAGTCTTCACCCCTTCTGCAAATTCTCTCTGATGGTATCTGAGTAATCTTTATAGGGTACAGTTCTGAGTATGTCATTTTTTGCTTAAAGCCTTTTGATGAGTCCCCTTTACCTGTGGAATGAAATGTGGCATCAAGATGACCCATCTTATCCTGCTTGTCTGTTCTTTTATTCTGCTCAGACTAAACAGTTTGTCCCTTCCCTGTGCAGCACTTCCACGGGTCATGTCTTCTCTCTGAAGTGCCCTTTATGTAGCCTGTTCCCATTTGATTGGCAAGCCCCTGACTACAGGTTTTCTTAAGTCTCCCCTGCTTTTCTCCTCAATCAACAGAGAATACCTTGAAAGCAATACTGACCTGCCCTGATCTTGGTAGCCCCACTATCTGGCCTAGCACCTGGCACATAGTAGGTGGTCAATGTATGTTGAGTGTTGTTGCTCAAAATTGATTTTATTTTATTTTTTAGTATATTTGCTGTTCCTGCTTGTATACTATCCTGATTATATTGTTTATGGCATTTTGAAATTTGGTAAACAAGATCTCTCCTTAATAGTTTTCAAAAATTTTGTAACTATTTTTCACATTTTTACTTCTAGACCTTGTAAGCCAACATCTCATGGTTTGTAAAAAAAAAATTATTGGAATTTTGATTAGCAAGGCATTGTATTTTATCATTTTATAAATGAGTTAAACAAGTGTAACAGAGGTCAAATTAATTGCTGAAGGGTATAAAGCCAGTTGGTGACAAAAGCATCAGGACTTAAATTTTCTGACTCAAATATTCCCTTCAGAATTGTTATCCCGGAAGCATTATTTTTTTTTTAAAAATAAACTCTGCTGCTGTTTAAACATTTGGGGGACTGTCTTTTAGACTTGCCTTTAAAATGGTGGTGTAGCACGTTATTTAATAAATGAGTAAGTGGCTATTTGATTTTTGAAAATAGTCACAAGATATTGGTAGCCGACCCTGGTGGTGGGTGGTTCATTTTGGGGGAATACCATTTTTTTTCTGGGGTGAGAAAGGTGGGGAGAGTTAAAAATGAAAGTGACTGGGAAATAATTAGTTTGGTTTGGGGTGAGACGTACAGATGAGTATGGATAGTTTAGTGAAAGATTTTAAAGATGCTCCCTCATGGCTGCCTCCTCCCCACGCTTCACGTGTCGTCTTTTCCAAGAGGACTTCCAATTCACCTTGTGTCTAAAGCAGCTCACACCTCCCTCTTCTCATCCCCTCCCCCTGTTATCACGCCTCATTCTGTCACTCTGTAGCCATCTGAAATGACCGCATTTCTGCACTGGTTATTTGCTGTCTTGTCCTTTCCTGTCTTGTCATTCTGTCCTTCGTGCTTAGAACCCTGCCTAGCACAAAGTGCTCATTATTTATTGAGCAAACGAGTCAATGTCTTACTTAGCAAGGAGAGCAGTATTGGAATAAACTGGCAATCTCTGGAGTAGAATGAAGAATAATCCCCATTTGAAATTTTAATTTTTATGTCTAATGTGGGTTATTTTTAACTTTTTGAAAACTGACAGTGATTATATTGAAAAGTTAAATTGTTTTTATGTAGTAAAATGTTATGACCTTGTCATTCTTTTTTTTAAGTTAGAAATTGCATTTATAAAAAGTACAGCGGATACAGTTTCCTGTTGCTGCTGTAACAGATAACCACAAATTTAGCAGCTTAAAACAGCTTATGTTTACCTTACAATTCTGGAGGTCATATGTCTAACGTGAATCTCACCAGGCTAACATCAAGGTGTCTGCCGGGCTATACTGGTCGCTGGAGGCTCTAGGGGAGAATCCCTTTTCTTAATTTTTCCATCTTCTAGAGGCCATGTGTGTTTCTCAGCTTGTGACCCATTTCCATCTTCAGAGCTAGTAATGGCTAGTCGAGTCTCACTGGTTCTGTCTTTCCTGCCTCAGTCTTCCTCATTCATGGGCCCCTGTGGTTCCATCAGCCGACATGGATAATCCAGGACTGTCTCCTTATTTTAAGGTCATCTAATTAGTAACTTTAATTGCATGTGCCATTGAATTTTCCCTTGCCATGTAACATAACATAGTCACAGGTTTTGGGAATTAGAATGTGGACATCTTTGGGAGGCCATTATTTTGCCTTTAATACCAACTGTACAGGTATAGCTTTCAAAACTTTGTTTTTTGTAAGTGACCACTGGCAGCTTTCATCAGTCCTTGGAGGAACAGGTGTCATTTTCCTATGACCTAACAATTGGGTTGTCCCACACTTTGCTCAAAGAGCAATGCAAAACAGGCTTGGGGCCAATACAGGAGCTGCAGATTCTTTGCCTGATACCCCACACTGCCGTCATGCTGAGCAAAATCCTCTTACACTCTCCTCGGGTAACTACACAATGTATTTTCTCAGTGAATATTGTTTCCAACAACTATGGGCCTGGTGGGTCCCAACTAGGAATATCTTAAGGAGCTTGAGCTATGAAGCAGGGACATCCCTTCTTCTTCACCCTTGTTAGAGCATGGTTAGGTTTCAGAGTTGAAGTCCATAGACAGCAGAGTTAAAATACTGTAAACGTGGATCTCCTGTGTGTATTTACTAGATAATCAAGAAGTGCAGAACCACTGAGATGGCTCTGGAAAGCCTGAAGCAGCAACTGGTGGACCTTCATCATTCTGAGTCACTTCAACGAGCTAGAGAGCAGCATGAGAGCATTGTGACGGGGCTCACCAAAAAGTATGAAGAGCAAGTACTGTCCTTGCAAAAGAATTTGGATGCTACGATGACTGCACTGAAAGAACAGGTTAGGATGATTTCAAATGAGCAACTATTACCAACAAGTAAAGGTTATTGATTATTATTATTTTTGATTCTTACATTTTGTGGTTCATCATGTAGAAATCATAGATGTTGAATCATAGATGTTTATAGTAGGTATTAGATTGTGAATAGACCTTAAAAGCCAATGATTTTTTTATATCTATGAATACGTTATCTTAAAGGTATAATTTTGGAAGCCTTTCTTCTTGTAGGATTGGTTAGTACGTTTGGGTCTCATGTTACTAGTCCTTTATTTGTGGAGTATTTATGCATATTGTTTATATGGTCCTAGAATAAATCTAGACTGAAAAAAATAAGTGTGCAGGGGGCTGGACTTGAGAGATTATCATGAGAGCTCAACCATTAGGAATCCTTCTTGGGCCTCCCACAGTTTGGTAATTCACCTGTCAAGAAAGTCTGTCAAGAAATAGTTTTCGAAAAAGAGTTAATTTTAAAGATTTTGCCCAAACACAGTGTAGTAGCATTAAAGTTAGTTAGATAAGCACAGTAGTCCTTGTTGGGTAACCAGAGAAGAGTGAAGTTTATTGGCTTTTCCATACTGGGTTTAGGATCTCTCTTGTCTACTGACTTAGATATAATTACATAGGGATCTCTACAACAACAACAGAAAAATTAGCCAGACGTGGTGGCACACAGCTGTATGTAGTCCCAAGCTAAGGAAGGAGGATCACTTGAGCTCAGGAGTTTGAAGTTGCAGTGAGCTTCTGCAACTGATGATGCCATAGCACTCTAGCCTAGGCAACAGAGTGAGACCCTGTCCAAAAAAAAAAAAGAAACAAAAAAACACCCCAAAACAACTCTTAGGAAGATAGTAGCAAGGCACACATAACTGGACAATTTACCCAGATGTACTTGAATACATTTGTCATTGTCTAGGTTTTGAGTAGCTGTCATGTAATCACACACAACTGTGTGCCAATATATTGTATCTACATGGTGTTAACAAAGTAGATGTTCAGAAATAGTTAATTTGCTGGTTACAAAGATTCTTAACCTGGTGTCTCCTAAGGCAGTGTATTAGTAGGCCCCAGGGAGTCCATGATTCCTCTAAATTATGGATACAATTTTCTACTGGGCATCTTTGGGTAAGATGAGCTTATTCAGACTTTCTAAGAGGTTCATGTCTCTTCTCACAAAAGGCTGAAAATTACTGCTTTGTAAAAATGTTCGTAGTAAAAATGGACATCTGCATTATTGACTAATCATATTATTGTGTTTCAACAAACTTACTGAACAATAGCTAACTATCAGGCTGTGAATAGACTATATATATTTAATTTTATATTTGTGTGTGTATGTGTGTTTGCACATATAGTATACACACACACTCTCTTTTTATTTTTTAGAACAGTTTTAGGTTCATAGCAAAATTGACTAGAAAGTATAGAGATTTCCCAAACACCCCCTGTCCCCACACATTGCCTTTTCCATTATTCACATTCTGCTTCAGAATGTGGGACGCCCCAGATAAACTTTTTAGATAGTTTTTAGCAATCCACAAAATAACTTACTGGGGGATTTTGTTTGGGATTCCATTGAATCTATAGATGAAGTTGGAAAGAAGTGACTTCTTGACAATATTGAGTCTTCCTATCCTTGAACATGGGATATCTCTCCATTTATTTAGTTCTTCTTTGATTTCTTTCATCAGAGTTTTTTAGTTTTTGTCATATAGATATTATACATATTTTGGTTAGATTTAGGCCCAAGCATTTCTTCTTTTTTTTTTTCCCCAGTACTAGTGTAAGTGGTATTATGTTTTAGTTTCAAATTCTACTTACTCATTCCTCGTGTATAGGAAAGTGATTGACATTTTGGATTCATCTTGTATCCCACACCCTGCTGTAATTGTTTATTAGTTCCTGGAGCCTTTCTGTTGATTCATTTAGATTTTCTACATGGAAAGTAACATCATCCATGAATAAAAACAGTATCTATGCCTATTCTTTCCTTTTCTGGTCTTACTGCATTAGCTAGGTCTTCCAATATGATTTAAAAAGCAGTGGTGAGAAGGGACCTTCAAGCCTTGTTCCTGTTCTTTATGGTGAAGGGTAAAGTTTTCATTGTTAAGTATGATGTTAGCTGTAGGATTTTTTTCTTTTTTAATGAAGTCGAGGAAGTTCTCTATACCTACTTAGTTTACTGAGAGTTTTTTTTTTTAAATCATGAATGGGTATTTAATTATAATTTAAAAGACAAAATTCAACACGTGATGGGAGAAAGTAGCAATCCCTGATGCATGTGAGTTTTTTTTGAATGTCTGTGTGACTTATGTGCTTTGAGAAATACATAGCTTGTGTAATTCTATTGTTAGTGTTTTCTTTAAGAGACCAGCGTTTCTGCGTAGTGATTGCGTTAATTTACATTACCACCAGCAGCGTACAGGGTTCCCCTTTCTGCACATCCGTGGCAACTTCTGTTATTGCCTGTCTTTTTGATGAAACCCATTTTAACTGGGGTGAGATGGTATCTTGTTAAAGCTTTAATTTGCATTTCTCTGATGATTAATGATGCCGCACATTTTTCCATACACCTCTTGACTGTTTATTTGTATGTCTTCTTTTGAGATATGTCTATTCAGATGGTTTGCCCATTTTTCAATCAGATTGATTTCTTTCCTATTGAGTTGTTGTTGGAGCCCCTTATATATCCTAGTTATCATTCTCTTGTCAGGTAAGTTGTGGTGTACTTAGTTTATTTTTAATTTTATTTTTTGAGTTAATATCTTCATCTGTCTCCTTCAGTAAAGTGCCATGGCATCAGCCTAGCTCACAGCAACCTCCAACTTTTGGGCTCAAGCAGTCCTCTTCCTTTAGCCTCCCAAGTAAGGGGGACTACAGGCACGTGCCACTATGCCCAGCTAATTTTTCTGTTTTTTAGTAGAGACAGGGTCTCACTCTTGCTCAGGCTAGTCTCAAACTCCCAAGCTCAAGCAATCCTATGGTGTACTTTAAATAATCCTCTGGTGTACTTTAAAATAACTAAAGGAATGGACCTGGAATGTTCCTAACATGAAGAAATGATAAATGCCTGAATTCACATTATATGCCTCTATCAAAGCATCACCTGTACCCTATAGAGATATACAAGTACATAATAATTAAAAAGAAAAATAACTAAAAAACCGGTAAAAAAAGAAAAAAGAGATCAGCTTTTCTGGGTGGAAAAGATTGTACACACTCACAACATACTATCTTTTTGCTTTGGCTGAATTCCCTTTGATCCTCTCCTCTCCTCTCCTCTCCCCTCCCCTCCTCTCCTCTGCTTTCTTTTCCCCTCTCCTCCCCTCTTTTGTTCTTTTTAAATATGATCGAAGAAATGAGAAGAAATGGGGTTCTTGGAGTTCATCCTCCAATATTATAACTGTCTCATAGTAAACTATCTCCTGTACTCTCTCTCTCCACCAAATTGCCTTTTACCTCCTTTTATTGGTAGAAGTGCCATGTTCTAAGAGTTCTGGTTATTTCTCCAAACTCTTTGTAGAAGTTTCATGTTAAGATCTTTGATTATCTCCTTGATAGAGAGGATACCTTTTTTCATTCTGGTCTTCTTGAGATCTTTAGCTTTTGGTCAATCATGGACTTTTGTTTCTGTGTCTTAACCTTCACCTGATCTATTTTCTACCTTTGCATTCATGATATTTTTAAGGGCTCCACTTTGAACACTTTCTGTTGTCTAAGAGACTCCTGCAGACCTCTCTGTGTGTGGTCTAATTCTCATTTTTCTGTGCACTAAAACTCGGTTCAGTTATTTTCCCTCCCACAGATTCAGCTGTCATCTCATCTGTGTATCATCACATTTGTTTTGTTCAGTCTTAAAATATGTGTATCTGCCTGTATCAGTCTTGAACTCACTCATGCTAATCATGGAAAAGGTAGAACTACTTACCTCTTTTTTGTTTGTTTTTGGTATTAAAATTTTCTAGTTTTATGAGTATAATCTGTTTCCCTGAACTTGTCAGTGTGGGAAACACCAAGGTTTACTTGATTGTTGCATATAGTCACATTATTGCCTTTTCTTTTTAAAATTGTTTTTCATATCTACCTTTTTCTAAAACTTGTTTTTGGCCAGTTCCCAGTCACTTGTAAAAACTATTGTGACCTCCCCAGAATGTAAGTATTAGTTGTCTCCCTGCCCTGTCTTGCTGTTGTTACTGTCATGCTGTCATTACTGTTAGCTCTTTCATTGTGTTTGCCATGTTACTTTGGTATTTTAGAACCAGGCTTCTCCAGCTGGCCTGGATATCAGCAACAGTTTGCCAGGAGGTTTGCAGTGCTGAATAAACATGGACCAGTTTCCAGAAGCTTCATTTTCCTCAAAAATTTGGTAGAAAAAATTCAAAGCAAACATAGTTACATTATGAAATAGAATGCGTAATTCACATGAAGTTTTTTTTTTTTTTTGCAGTTTTTGGCTGGGGCTGGGTTTGAACCCTCTACCTCCGGTATGTGGGGCTGGCTCCCTTACTCCTTGAGCCACAGGTGCTCCCCTAAATTTTTAAGCTAAATGGGAGATTTCAGTATCCCTTTACTCTGCTTAAGGCGACTTCTGATGGGAGTACCTTGTGTTAGTACTTTTAAGGCATTATTGGGGTTTAGGTTAATCCTGTGGGTCAGGCACCAAAACCATAAGACCATTTCTTTGCTTCAAAGCTCTTTCTTGATATTCCTCTTACTACTATTTTCTTTAAAGATTTTTTTTTTAGGTAGTTTCGACCACTTACCTTAATTCACTCCTCTGCCTCTCTCATGCTCTGCTGTGTGCCTGGAATTCGTGTGCCTGGAATTCGGCCTGTGTAGCCTCATTTGAATGAAAGGTGATGATTTCTATGCTTGTGATTTCTTCCCCCTGGGCTTAGGCCTCCTATGGCTCATTACTCCCTGATGCATGTTCTTTTTGGAGAAACTTGATTATCTAGCATACTCACTCTCCATTTTCTATATCTCCCCAGTACATATGCACACTCATTTACCCTGTGTTTTTGTTTGTCATTCATTTTTCACGTGTTCATTGTAGCCCTTATTTGTATAAAGCACAACAGAGGCATCCTTAAGAAGATTATTAAGAGAAATAAGACCTGTAAAAGGAAGAAAGAGAAACATAAAAGAAACAGATCAAACTGAAAAGAAGTTAAGTGGGAATGACTATTTTTGGCTGCTTTGAATAGAATGAGTTTTTGGCTGTGTGAAATAGAATAAGTTTCCGTGTGTTTATCCATATCCTTGCTGTCTTGGAATACAAATTTCACGATTCAAAGTGTCTGTGTAAATATGTATACGTACAGTTGATCTGACAGCGTAAAATGCAAATAATAATATAATAATTTTCCTTTGATTTAAATAAAATCAAATTTCAAAATAAGTGTCTTGTGAACGTAGAGTAGGAGGGGATTTTAGAAATCATCTAAATAAGAAAAAAACCAATCTTTGACTGAAGCAGGTTAGAGAAAAATAAGTAACTTAAAAATTAAGATAGAAATCATTTAATTCAACCTTTGTTAGCATAATGGCAGAAGAAGAAACAGACTGAGGAATTGAAGCCTCACCCAAGATCACGTAAGTGTTCTCCTGACTTCCAGTCCCGTGCACTTGACCCTGTAAAAGAGGTGATGTTGCCGTGTGATGATGTCTATTTTCTGTAAAATCCAGTTACGTATCATAATTTTTAGTTTAATACTTATTAAAACTGATCATGAAAATGATTTTATTGCACTGTTTTTCTATTTAGGAAGACACTTGCTCTCATTTGAAAGATCATGTGAAACAGCTGGAAAGGAATCATGAAGCAGTCAAGTTAGAAAAGACTGAGATCATTAACAGGTTGACCAGAAGCCTAGAGGAGGCTCAAAAGCAGTGTGCCCACTTGTTACAGTCCGGTAGGTGTCTGGTTGGGCTCTGTCTCCCCAGAAGGCTAGTACAACATGCAGAGAGGACATAGCAGGACCCATGAATTATAAAGATCCAGAAAAGAGAGAAGACCATTCGTGACAAATTTCTTTCTTTCTTTTTTTTAATAAAAAAATATTGCATATGGATAAAGATATGGTTTATTTTTGTGAGCTAATTTGGAAACTGTAGATAGACATAAAGTACCGAATAAAAATAATCAAGAACCCTACCGCTCACAGGTGATTGTTGTTAACATTCAAATGTACTACGTATTTCCTTCTAATGAAATGAATGCACGCCCACATAGACAGTGCCCTGCATCGTCTGTAAGCGCATTTCTGACAACATGCTAAAGCTGAGTGTGCAAAAATGAAACAATAAAAAATAGTAGAACCTGTGTAAGTTGACCACCTAAGGGACTGTAACAAGCTGGTCAACATACAGACGTGGTCAACGTGAAGAACCAGGCCTAGTGGTGCGTGTCTGGTCTATGAAAATTAGGTCGACTAAGGAGGTGATCAGTAGAGGGAGGTGGTCATTTATGGAGGTTCTACCAAAGTTATAACTTTTATACCTGAAAGCTAAAGATGATTGTAAAATCCCATTATATTTTGGTTTTTTAGACCCAATATTTGATCACGTCATTCTATCCTTTTGTATAACTTCTTTAATTTTTTTCCTCTCACAATGGCATAGCCACATACCTGGTCAGTGGAGATCAGATAATTACATTTTTGTTAAGCTTAAAATTTCTGTCTGATCTCTATGCTACGTGGGTCATTACCAAACTTTTGAGATCCACAAAAATCCAGAAATGTAAAATTCGCACAGGCAGAAGAAAATGAAGCCCTCCCCGCAACAAAGCTGAGCAAGGTGAATCAGAAAGGATACTGTCGGCCGTGTTTCTTGGAAATGAAATAATGGACGATAGCGTAGTCCGTCTAAGTTTAAGACATGTGCTTCTTATCTTTTTAGTTTCAGCAGTAGTTTTATTTCTTACAATGTTTTATAAAATGTTATTAGACTAAAAGGCAAGGAAGTATTCAAATGTTTGTGTAAACTCTGCCATGCAGAAAAGCCATCCTGTTTGCTCACAGGATCAGTAGCTCACACTGTGAAAACAGGTCAGTGGTTATTCATTCATTCACTGATATGCGAAAGTCAGACTTTGGCACTGACAGACCGTTTAGACTGTTGGTACAATGTGTGAAAGGGTGGGTTATCCAGTAGTCGAAAGTACTAAAGTCAATGACTGCCTAGACTTGTGTATATATATTTGGTGGGGGGAAAAATGTGGATCATATTCTGTTTAGGTCCCCTCCCTGTTTAGTTTTGTAGCCTTCGTTTTCACTTCATATTGCTTGGAGAGTTTTTTTCCTGACCCTTATAGGCTTTGAAAATACAATTTTCTTTAACTGCATAATGTGCCATCATTGTTTCACTTGACCATTTCCTAGATGGTCATTTTCTTTTGAAACCCAATAAAATCACTCTTAGATGGGAAATTCCCCTAGTACATTTAAAATATCAGGTCACTAAAGTTTCAGAAGCACAACCGTAGAAGACTTTTTTCATATAGCTGGGGGTGTTGGAAATAAAAGCATCTAGAAAGAAGCTAAAGTTAGCAAGATGTCTCTATCAGAGGGTAGAAATGGGTTCTGAAGAATTTTTTCTTTGGCTTTCTATAAGTTGGAATGTTATGCTCCTATTAAACTGGCACAGTGGCCCAATCCTGTAATCCCAGCACTGTGAGAAGCTGAGACAGAAGGATTGCTTGGGGCCAGGAATTTGAGACCAGCCTGGGCAACATAGCAAGACCTCATTTCTAAAAAATAAATGAATAGTTGGGTGTGGTGGCATGTGCCTGTAGTCCCAGCTACTTGGGAGGCTGAGGCAGGAGTATTACTTGAGTGCAGGCTTCGGGGTTACAGTGAGTTGTGATTGTGCCACTGCACTCCAGCCTGGGCTGCAGAGTGAGGCCTCTTCTCTAATAATGAAAGGAAGAAAAGGAAAAAGGGAAAGAAAGAAAGGAAAGAAGAAAAAGAAAATGAAGAAAGAAAGAACTTGTGAAGTATTATGGTTTGTAGGTGTGGCTGATTTGGTTAATAAGAAGGTCACAGTAGCCCATGCCTTTAACTCCTTAAGAACATATGGGAGCCATACTCAGTCTTGGAAATGTGTGAACCAGACCTGTGCCTTCTGGGTTCTGTGGGCCCTGTCTGTACCTTTATGCCCCTAAAGTGATAGTGGTGGTAAAGCAGAATTCGTGTCTGCAGCCTCAGTGGATTCACATTCTTCTGTGGATCTCAGGTGCTTTGTGCCCTTATGTTTGGTGTATCCTGTAATTTTTCTCCTCCACAGGCTCAGTCCAAGAGGTGGCCCAGCTCCAGCTCCAGCTGCAGCAAGCACAGAAGGCACATGCCATGAGCGAAAACATGAACCAGGCTTTGCACGTGAGTGTTGCCACTTGGAAGAGACTCTGTAGGCCTTTCTGAATCTTGGGTTTCTCTGTATGAGAATGGCTTTTGGGCCATCTTCAAACCAGCCCGTGGGAGTGTTCACAACCTCGCCCACACAACTGGGAAGTCTCGCCCAGGTCTGTGTAGCTGCAGAGCCAGGGCCATGCGTCTCCTACTGGTCTGCCTGCGCCCCTCCTGTGGTGTGTCCAGAGGTCACTTCATCCACAGGTGTGGGGAACATTAATCACTGCAGTTCTCTCACATCCTCCTCCTTCTCCTTCTCTCCTGGAGGGAGAAGAAAGGACTGGAGAAGAGTTCCAGGCATTACCTCCACAGAAAGAGGTATTTTGCCTTTTTACTATTGGCAGACTAATAACACATTCTTGTCAAACCAGTCCACTTTGTCATCTGTTCTAATAAACCTCAAAGTGTTTCCATCAGCATTTCAGTTCAAGGGACACTTTTCATGGAGGACAAAATGTGAGAGAAGAACGTGTGAGAAAAACTCCTTGTGTTTGTTCTTATTCATTTGTTCATTCTGTTTGCTTCAAGATTCATGCTGGACTTTATAAAATTATTTATATAACATAGACTAATGAAGCATTTGAATAAGTTTTCCTGTCTTATATTGATCATCAAAACAGATTTTGAAACATTGAATGATTGATTTCTTCTTACAGAAAAATAATGGAAATTATTTTTAATAATTTTGTGTTGTAGGAAGAACTAACTGAACTCAAAGATGAAATTTCTCTCTATGAATCTGCTGCAAAACTAGGAGTACTTCCAAGCAACTCAGAGGGAGAATTAAATGTTGAACTCTCTGAATCCTATGTGGATTTAGGTATCAAAAAAGGCAACTGGAAAAAATCCAAAGTTAACAGGTACTGAGAAAATTGTTTATCAATTAACATTAATGATATTGATGGTTACGTGTTAAACAGGTGGACCCAGGCATGAAATGATGAGCTGAGTAGGGATTCTTGAATGTGGGCCAGGACTTTGAGTAATTTTTAATGAAGTATAAATGTCTGAAATAGAAAGGGACAGAAACTTCAAGTGTTAATATTGTACTATCTTCAACACCCAAATAGACACATCAGTTTCAGAAAGTTAAAAAGTGATTAATATAGTTAAAATGTACAAAGCAAACTCTAAAACTTAGATTATTTATCTCTTTTAAATATTAAAGTGAGGTTACTTTTATACGCTAGCACTGTGTGTTAAAAGCATATCTCTTGCATTTATCAACTGCACATGAGAAAAAGGCGTTAAATATGTCTCGGAACTTTACTGTGACCTTAGTTTTAAGATAGGAACCCAGTCTTTTGTACTGCTGTTTAATACTGATACTTTAGCAGCCTCTCGGAGGAGTGCTTTACCTTCATCACTCCTAGGAACTGACAGGGGAGAGTGGTAGTGGAGGAAGAGGGAGTACTAAACCTGTAAAGGATAACGGAATGAGACTTCATTCACTCACATTTGAGAAGCACTTGCTCCATGGGAAAGGCCTATGCAAGGCTCTGGGAATAGAGCACACAAGACGAGATAGAAACAGTCCTGTTCACAGGGAGTTGACCTTGTGCCCGATCGGGGGAAGGAGACAGTGTTGAACGTGAGTGTGTTCAGTGTGTGTTTGATATACAGAGGGGAGGATGTACACATTCCCTCTACTGGCTGTGGGGAGGGAGGACAGATGAGGTGTTGAGAAGAGATTGTATTTGGGCCCAGGAGAGTTTTTCTCGAATGCATCTGGCCCTCGCCACCACCATTTGGTTTATGGTCTCAGATGGACTTCGCCATCATTACTACATGATTGTTCTGTGAGAACGTTTGATATCACACAACTAAATATAATACTGTATGTAAATATCCTGAGGAGTTTTCTCTACGATAGGTCTTAGAAGGTATGTATTTAATACTGTGATTGCATTTTAAGAACTGTGAGATGAGACCTAATACATTGAAATCTAAAGTAGTCAGGTGATGCTGTGAAAGAAGGTATTATTTTAGTTAGGCTCCGTTTATTTGAGGTCTGTCTCCAGGGACTCTTATCCTACTGACCACAGCTACAATCTAGAAGGAAGCAAAGAAGAAAACAGCAAATCTAAATTACATGACGTATTTCACAGGGGCCACTTTCAAGCTCTTATCCCAGAGCCTTATTGAAGTAGATTTATTTGCACCTCATGAGTTATCTGATTTCCTGACTGCAGGGCAGGAGGCTGGGAGAGCTGTCAGCGGTTAGGCAAGACAGCTTAGCCTTAATGAGGAGAGAACCAGATACCCAAGCTACGTCACAGCAAGTTTCCACATCTATGTCCATAATTATGATCCCAAGATGTTGAAGAAAGGCTTCCACTTTGGTGAGCTACTTAAAGCAAAAAAGGAAGTGCATTTTATATTTTTTAGGGATATTTACATATCCTTTTAAACTATAGTCATCTACAAAATTCACGGCTATGAGGGCCTCATTTCCTGTTAATGTGAGATTAATTCCAAGAGGCTAGTGGAAAGAACATGGGCTTTAGAGTCAAACTGTTTTAAACCATAGTGTTGTCATTTATTACTAACTTTATAACCTGTTTTCTAATCAGGGTTGATTGATATCCCTTGGAGGTTAAAATGAGGATTAAAATCGATTACAAATATAAGGGATCTCTTCTGATACATTCCAATATCTTAGGCCCCTGATAAAGGATAGCTATTGCTAGTATTATTCAATAGATGATTGGTTAAAATATACCATGGATCAGACTTTATATTAATCCATTTTTAATTCAACCTGTATTTCATGAAAAGTTCTCGATCCTCAACCTTGTGGAAAATGTCAGATCCAATGTTAACAAGTTAGAGTTGGAAAATTGGAGCGCTTCTTTGCTCAAGAAGACGGTCAGTTAGCAACAGAACTGGTGCTTTAAACCAACACTCCTAAGGACAGGCAGTTTTTGGTTTGCTCATATTTACATGACAGTCAAAACTTTTGCCTTAAACCTTGTTCTTTATGTCAAAGATTAAAGATGTAGTTCATGCCAAAACAAGATTTTCTCTAATTCATTATTACTTTACTTTAGTTTGTACCAAAATTGTCCCGGGAATTGGGAAAATAATACATTATATATATTTTTATCTTTTCGAATAGACTTATTTCATCATGATGTCTAAAGTGCATTCTACTTTGCACTATTTACTTAGCACTTATACCTAAAATCCTATAGTAAGTTTAAAGCACATTCCTATAAATAATGAACCTGAGATAGTGCGCCATTATCACAAAAGGAATGATGGACACATTCATCCAGAAAAGTAAGAGATAACGAGGGCATGGGGTGGTTAGTTGCTGGGGCTCAGCTAGAAGACGTCCAGTGAAAAGCAAGCTGAGGGAACAGACGTTGTGCTTAGAGTCAGTCAGTCATTCCACCCACCTGCAGTTTAATAGGTGATAATTTGGATCTGAGGAAAACTAAAAATATTTCTTATTCTTAGATCAAATTTAAAAGAGCTATAGAAGTGAAGAGATTTATACCTTTCCTCTGGTGGGATGTGATTCTTAGAATAAAAGGAAGCAACAATTTTCCCGGTGTTGAGAATTTTAGTTCTTTGTTGACTTGAGCTGCTTTCAATTCACTGACCCAAATATTAGCGGCTCCAAGCTTTTATTACCAACTGCCACCTCCCTCAAGCTACCGCCTAGTAAATTTTAAGGGTTTAGCCTCAATGTTCTATTTTACATTCATGGAATTTGAGTAGCTGAATCTGCTTGCAGCTTGCAGACAGCTTCCTCTCTCCCTTATTATAGTTGGCTGCTAAGCTCAAATAATAAACATTTAACAAGTGGAATGCCTTTTCCCTTTGGTCTTCTCAGCAGGCTTCATAAGGGACTACAGTTTATTTGGATTTAGGGAAACCAACTTCCATTGGGCTCAGGAGGGAGCCTTTTGCAAGATTGGTCACCACCACTGACTTTTTTTCTCTTTTGAGGAAAGCAGAGGAAATTATTTTAGCAAACACTTTCTCTGTGCCCTACCTTGGCTCCCTCTAGGAGTACAGGATGTGCTGTGGTCACCTTTTAGTAAGAAAAGGAATTAAGGATACATAATTTGTTTACTGAGTAACAAACGTTCTGTTTAACATTAGCTCACAATATCTTATAGCATAGGAAGATACATTGTAATGTATTTTATTTATGCAATTTCTATTTCTTATTTATATCATCTATTTCTGTAGAAATAGAAGTTGTTTTATATGGGTAAGTTCTATATATACAGATTTCCACAATATGGATCATATATATTAAAGTTACATATACATATGTATCGCAAGGAGCTCCTTTTGTAAGGTTAAGAAAAAACACCTAATATTTTGCTCATTTTCTCTTCTCTCTCTCTTTCCATACATATGATATTCTAACCTTTTATTTGGAATCCTCTGAAACTGAATAACATTTTAACTCAGACATTTTAACTCAGACCTTATCTCTTTTTTTTTTTTTAAATAGACTTTGTTTTTTAGCATGGTTTTAGATTTATAGAAAAATTTATATTATATAGAGTTCCTATATATGCTGGATCATTTCCCCTACTAATAATGTCTTACATTAGTATGTATAATACATTTATTATAATTAATGAGCCAATATCGGTACATTATTATTAACTCATGTCCATCCTTAATTTTTACCTAATGTCCTTTTTCTGTTCTAGGATCCCAAATTACATTTAGGAGTCATGTTTCCTTAGTCTTCTTGATTATCCCTATTTTTAATGAGCTTGAACTGGACAGTTTTGAGGAATATTGGTCAAGTATTTTGTAGGAAGCCCCTCTATTGGAATTTTGAAAAAAATTTTGAAAAAAAAAGTTTTTCTTTTTTTTTTTTTTTTTTTTTTTTTTTTTTTTTTTTTGAGACAGAGTCTCACTATGTCACCCTCAGTAGAGTGCCGTGGCATCACAGCTCACAGCAACTTCAAACTCTTGGGCTTAGGCGATTCTCTTGCCTCAGCCTCCCAAGTAGCTGGGACTACAGGCACCTGCACCTGGCTATTTCTTTCATTGCAGTTGTTGAGCTGGCCCAGGCAGGGTTCGAACCCACCACCCTTGGTGTCTGTGGCAGGTGCTGTGACCACTGTGCTACAGGCGCTGAGCGCTACAGGTGCTGAGCCTGATGTTTTACTTAATGATTATGTTTTTCTCATGGGTTTTGTGGAAGAAGATCAGGTAGATATGATTTTGTTTTCATCACATCGTATCACGGGTACATACTATCAACTGCTTATATCTTTTCAAAAGTAACTTTATCCTCCATTATGGAAAAATTATTAAAAAAAGAAAACAGAAAAAAATAGAAATCACCCATAATCTTACTTCCCTCCATGAAGAAACCACTTAATAATGTTTTGGTGTATAACATCCACATTATCTGTTTTGTACGATTCTAAAAGATAATATTGAACATACTGTTTTATGATGTCATTTAAGTTAATATATTCTGGAGTCTTTGAATGTCAGTAAATAATTGTTATATATAATTTTTAGTGAATATATAGATGAGTGAACCATGTTTTAGTTACTAATACATTGTTTAAAATTTTGTTACGATAATGCGGCATTATTATTGCAAACATCTTGTAGTGAGGACTTTGTTCACATCTTTGATGATTCCTTAAGGTGCAGAGTACTTTTCTTGCTGAAGGGTATGCGTATATTTGAGGGTTTTGATCCCTGTTGCCAACAGCTCTAAAGGTGACCTTATTACCCACCTCATGTGGCAGTAAGGATTTCTCTGAGCCCTGCCCACTATCAAGAGTTGTCAGTTTTTCTGTGTAGTTAGATCTGTCACCTTTCCTTATGATTTCTTTATGTTTGAAAGATGATATTTTTCTAGTACTTTTTATGGTTTTATTTTACTTTTCAAGTTTTACAATTGTGAATGTAACACGCAAAGAAAAATAGATGGAACATAAGTATAACGTGAATATGTGTACTCATGAGGCCACCACCCAGGCCAAGAAATAACATTGCGATGGCTGCCTGTAGTCTTCTTTTCAGTCATAACTTTGAGATTTTTCTACTATCTGAACCAGGGGTCCTCAAACTTTTTAAACAGGGAGCCAGTTTACTGTCTCTCAGACCATTGGAGGGCCAGACTGTGGGCCCTGGGACCAGTCAGCTGCTAAGCAGGACAGGCAGTGGCGGCAAAAACACCTGGCAAACCAGATAAATGTCCTTGGTGGGCTGTAGTTTGAAAGTGCCTGATCTTAACTGTCAGGGCAATCATTTTCGGGTATTTCTTTATCCTTTTAATATTCATTTACCTGTACACTCCAGATCAGTAGGTTCACCTTCATGTACAGGGAACTCATTCATTGAGCATTCTTTTATTTTTTTTTGCAGCTTTATTAATATATATTTCACATACCATATGACATGCATTTAAAGTGTACGGTTCAGTGGTTTTTGGTATAGTCACAGAGCTGTGCGACCATCACTACAACCTAATTTTAGAGCATTCAGCATCCCCCCCAAAACCCCATTTCTGTTCCTAGTCATTCCGCATCACCTCTTCCTGCCTCCACAGCTCCAGGCAGCCACTAGTCTGCTTTCTGTCTCTGAATTTGCCTGCTCTATGCATTTTCATGTAAACAGAATCATATAACACATGGTCTTCTGTGATTGCTTCTTTCACTCAGCATAACGTTTCCAAGGTTCATCCATGTGTAGAATGTATCAGTACTTCATTCCACTTTATAGCCAAATAACATTCCTTTGAATGGATATACCACATTTGGTCTATCCAGTCACCAGCTGATAGACATTTATTTGTTCCCTTTCTACTTTTTGGCCATTATGAATAATGCTATAATATGAACATATACACGTGGACATAGGGTTTAATTTATCTTAGATTTTTTTATATATATGTAAATACATATATATTCACATACATGCACACACGCATGCATAGAATTTTTTTTGCATTTTTTGGCTGGAGCTGGGTTTGAACCCACCACATCCAGCATATGGGGCTGGCGCCATACTCCTTTGAGCCACAGGCGCCGCCCCATGCATAGAATTTTGAGGAAACATTAAACTATTTTCCCAAATGTCTTCACCATTTTACATTCTCCCCATCATTGTATGAGAGTTACAATTTCTCCATATCCTTACCAATACCTTGTCATTTTTCATTTAAAGAATATACCTCTCCTAGCAGATGTGAAATGGTATCTACTTATGGTTTTGATTTGGTTATCTTTCCATGTGTATATTGGCCTTTTGTGTACCTTCTTTGGAGAAATGTGTATTTAAATGTTGCCTCTTTTAAAATTGGGTTGTCTTTTTACTGTCAAGTCCCTTGTCAGATTAACGAATATTTTTTTCTATTTTGTGTGGTTTTTTTAAAACTTTTTTGATAGCATCCTTTGAAGCAGAAATGTCTTTAATTTTATAAAGCCCACTTTATTTTTTTCTTTTGTTGCTTCTGATTTTATTATCATATATAAGAAACCATTCCATAACCCAGGGTCCTGAAGATTTATACCTAAATTTTCTTCTAAGAGTTTTATCTCTTACATTAGGGTTAGGATTCATTCTGAGTTAACTTTTGCATGTGGTATGAGATAGGGGTGTAACGTCCTCCTTTTACATGAGGCTGTTCAGTTTCCAATTGTCCCAGTACTGTTTGTTGAAAAGATTCCTTCCATTAAATTGTTTTGCCACCCTTGTTGAAAATCAATTGGCTATGAATGTGAAGGTTTATTTCTGAACTCTCAATTATGTTTCCTTGGTCTACAGAGGGTGCTCAAAAATGTATATGACACATTATAAGAAAGGAAAGAAAACTGTATTAAATTTGTAATGCTCGATAATATCAATAAGAAAAGATGAATAAAAGTCACATGGAGCACCTCTTGTAATTGTAGAATTCAAACATGACTTGAGAATTATAAATTTAATACGTTTTTTCATGTCTTAAAATAATATACATTTTTTTCCTCTGTCTTTGTCTGTCCCATGGCAGTAACATACTGTCTCAATTGCTGTAGCTGTATAAATTTTGATACTAGGAAATATGAGTCTTCCAACTTTGTTCTTTTTCAAGAGTAGTTTCACCTTTCTGGATCTCTTGCGTTTCCATGTGAATTTAGGATCAGTTCATTAATTTCTGCAAAAGAACTAGTGGGATTCAGAAAGATGTTGCATTGAATTTGTAGATCAATTTGGAGAGTATTGCCATTGTAACGATACTATCTTTTGATCCCCAAACATGGAATATTTTTTCATTTATTTAGATCTTTTAAAAGTTCTTTCATCGGTATTTAGTTTTGGTATACAAGTCACATGCTTCTCTTGTTAAATTTATTCCTAGGTTTACAATCTTCATGTTTGTTGTAGAATTTTATTGCTACGTCTTTATGGTCACTTATCGTTTACAGTGTTAAATATGCTGTTAATCCTGTCCAGTATAGTGTTCATTTCCGTTATTGTAGTTTTTTTTCTATAGGTCCCATTTTATACCTTTCATTTCTTTACACGTGTTCGCATTGTCCTGAACCTTCCAGAACACATAGATTATATTTAACTCTGTTAGACAATAGAGTTAGTTAGTTTCTACTGATTAATTATTTTTTTTCCTGGTTGTGGTTCATATTTTCTTTCCTGCCCTTTGCGTGCCTGGTAGGTTTTAACTGAACGCTGGCCATTTTGCATTTTATGTTTTGAATGCTAGACTTTCTTGTATTTTATTGTCCAGAAAGCTGGGCAGTATGGGGCTCACCATGTTTGCTTTCCTTTTCTCAGGAATCACTGTCCTGTGCTGCTTCTTGTCTAATGATTGAAAACTGTTGTTTCTATTCTTTCATCTGTTTTATGTGGTTTTCTGTTTTTATATTTTATTTGTTTATTTATTTTGAGACAGAGTCTCATTATGTCGCCCTGGGTAGAGCGCCCTGGTGTTACAGCTCACAGCAACCTCCAACTCCTGGGCTTAAGTGATTCTCTTGCTTCAGCCTCCCAAGTAGCTGGGACTACAGGCACCTTCTACAATGCCCGGCTATTTTTGTTGTTGTTTTTGTAGTTGTTATTGTTTGGCAGGCATGGGCCAGGTTTGAACCTGCCAGCCTCAGTATATGTGGCTGGTGCTTTAGCTGCTGAACTACAGGCACCGAGCCAGTTTTCTGGTTTTCTAAAGAGGAAGCTGTATCTAGTCCTTGTCAAATCATGGCAAGGAGCAGAAAATTTCATCTTAATCTTTAAACTTACGAAAATTGAGTTTATGTTAGCATGGCTTTGTGTTTTTCCAGTTGCTCAGAAATTCACCTAGACTTGTGTTTTAGTAGTTTTTTCTTTGTTGTTTGTTTGTCTTTTTTTGAGACAGAGCCTCAAGCTATCATTCTGGGTAGAGTGCGTGGCACCACAGCTCACAGCAACCTCTAACTCTTGGGCTTAAGCGATTCTTTTGCCTCAGCCTCCCAATTAGCTGGGATTACAGGCACCCGCCACAGTGCCTGACTGTTTTTTGGTTGTAGTTGTCATTGTTGTTTAGCGGACCTGGGCTGGATTCAAACCCGCCAGCTCTGTTGTATGTGGCTAATATAGATGCCAAGCCTTGCGTTTTAGTAGTTGAAAGAAATAACAGAAATTACTGGTTAGGATGACTAGTACTTACTATTCCTATAGTTTCTCCGAAAGTCATAAAGGCTGTGTGTATGCAACACGCAGTTTACCAACACAAATGTAAGTCATAGCCGTGTTCACAGATCTAAACTCTGTTCGGGGAGTTTAGCGGGACTAAGCTTGAGAATGGTCTTCCTGTGAATCCATTTGTTTCTACACAAGAGGACATGGTAAAGGTAATATCTTATATAACAAAGACCAGTATGTAATTTTATAGTGACAAAATATAGTCACCACTACAGTTAGTCTTTTTAAAGAATAACCATGCTCGATTTGTTAGTTTATTTAATCTTAAAAATCATAATTTCTCTATTAGCATTGTTCAGCCAGAAGACCCGAATCAAGAGCTTTCAAATGATGAGTTCATTCTGAAGTTGAAAACAGAAATGCAGCGTTTGCTGAGTAGCAACTCAATAAAGCGTCACCTGGTGTCTCAGTTGCAAAATGATCTCAAAGACTGTCGTAAGAAAATTGAAGATCTCCAGCAAGGGAAGAAGGATGAAAAAAGCACGGAGGTTGAGGTTTGTTGAGCCAAAAAGCCGTTTTTAAAAGGCATAATAAAGAAAATTTTTACATATTTTATATTTAATAAGCCTGTGGCCTTCAGGGGTCTGGGTGACATTTTTAGAAGTAAAATTTATTTATTTATTGTTGAGGCAGGGTCTCACTTGGTCCCCCTGGGTAGAGTGCCCTGACATCATAGCTCATAGCAACCTCACACTCTTGGGCTCAAGTGATCCTCTTGTCTCAGCCTCCCAAGTAGCTGGGACTATCAGTGCCCACCACAACACCCGGCCTAGCTGGTTTTTCTATTTTTAGTAGAGAAAGGGTCTCACTTTACTCAGGCTGGCCTTGAACTCCTGAGTCTTGGTGATCCACCAGTCTTGGCCTCCTAGAGTGCTAGGATTGCAGGCGTGAGCCAGCACCCCCAGCCGGAAGAAAAGTTTAAATAAGGAAGTGCTGTATACTGCCAGTCTCTGTCTTCCGATGTTTCTTTCAACTTTACAGTGACACATCTTCAGTAGAAACTGTACTTCTGTAACCATTCTGAACTCATACAACCATTCTGTGTTTCCCTTTCAGTATAGTGTTCAATGAATTCCATGAGATAAATTTAGCACTTTATTATAACAGGCTTTGTGTTAGGTGTTTTGCCAAACTGTAGCCTAACGTTTAAGTGTTCCAAGCATGTTTAAGGTAGACTAGGCTAAGCTGTGATGTTTGGTAAGTTGATGTATTAAATGCATTTTCAGTGTTTGATATTTTGAATTTAGGATGGTTGTATCAGTACATAACTCCACTGTAAGTTAAAGAGCACATGTGTATTTTCTGGTTACTCTTGCCAGGAAGAGTACTATTTTACAGCTATTAAATGAGATGCTAAGTAGTTAAAATTCCTTTACCACAAATACAAGTATGTATTCTATTTAACAAGGTAATTGTATTTCCTCAAGATTGGCTTGTACCAACAGTGCTCTAAAATTGGGTTAAAATAAGTCTACCGTATTGAATTGCTTCAGCATTTTCTCTGTGAGATTTCCCTGGCCCAGGTTTTTATAGTGAAAGACCTTCTGCATAAGGAATATTAATTTCATGGACATACAGATAGGAGAAGCACAGATTGAGGTTATGTCAGGCATTGAACCCACCTCGATGTGCTTTACTTCGTCTTCTCACTTGACAGGTGAGGGAAATGAAACCGGTGAAGTTAGTGACACTTTTGAGGTTACAGAGTCAATGTCAGGCAAATGGAAACTGAAATACATGAATAATAAAATAGGTCCAGGTTATTTTCTGAAGACTGTGTTATCACAGAGGTCTTTAGGGCTGCCCTCCTTTATCAGCTGCCCTTTTCACTCTGCTGCACTTCGTAAACCCTCACCCATCTCTACTCCCTGTTGAAAGTGACACATAAAAGGCCTAGTAACTAAGAAAAGGAAAGGGAAAGGGGAGAATGAATGTTAAGTAATTTACTCTTCTTCCTCCTGGATGGAAATCGTTGTTTACTTCCTATTTTAGTGCTGTTTTATCTCTTGATTCTTTAAACTGGGAGTTGTGTTTATTAAAATAGTTCTATTAAAGCAAAGTTTGTAAGATGTTCTGCTGTGCTAATCATTACAGAATTTTAACTGTGACTAACTTACTTTTCCGAAATATCAATAACAGTGTGTTTTTACTATTAAAATTCTGCCCAGCCTGGTTTCCTCTCCTAAGTTAACTATGTCTGATGAGCAGAACACTGATTTTAATGGTAGTAACAAATGAAAAAGAGCCACCGCAACCCCAGCACATTTAGCATCTTTAAATCAACCTGCTGTAATTGTTGTAATACATTTCTTTAAAAGGGTGGGAATGGGAGCTCGTGTCTCAATTAGTATTAGGAGATTAGAGTTGATTAGTTAAAGCATTTTAATGAGAGTAGGCTAAGATTCAGAAGAACAGGATCCTGATTCTGAGTCTGAACTTAGCTCAGGTATCTTAGCACTTTGTTCTATATTGAATTTACTATTGACATTTGCTATACAGATGCCCTTTCTAATGGTGTTGGTTTTTTTAGCCTTTTCCTTTTCCTTTTCAATTATTTCACCAGAGAGAGCTAATTAATTTTTTAATACTCTTTTTGTCAAGGTACTCTTTGGTCCTGGCAGTTTCTCAGTAGTCTATATCAAAACTCTGATTTGTCTTGAAGTGTTACTTCAGTTTTTCCTACTGATGTCTGTTCTGCTTCAACTTACGATGTAGGAATTTCTTGGGAATATCATCTTGATAATTCCATGCATATTTGCTCAGTAAATATTTGTAGGGTTAATAATACACATGCCCATGTCAATCCCCTTCCTAGGTGGGGAAGAGAGAGGTAGGAACTTAACTAACAAGCATTTTTGTTGTTTCTGTAATGCTCAAGTTCATAGTCATCTAATTAGTCCATAAACACCTTCAGGCTTTGCCTCTGCCTTGTACTTCTCACCTCTTTCTATTTCGCCTGTGAAGTTAGAAAGCATGGTTGGAGGAACATGGAGAAAGAGCAAATCATTCAGGGAAGCTTTTTTATTTTTTCTCAAAAGCCACTCTGTGGGCTCGGTGCCTGTAGTTCAATGGCTACGGTACCAGCCATATACACTGGAGCTGGCAGGTTTGAACCTGGCCTGGGCCTGCCAAACAACAATGGCAACTACAACAACAACAACAAAAATAGCTGAGTATTGCAGCAGGCGTCTGTGGTCCCAGCTACTTGGGAAACTGCGGTAAGAGAATTGCTTAAGCCCAAGAGTTAGAGGTTGCTGTGAGCTGTGATGTCATGGCACTCTACTGAGGGCAACAGTAAAAAAAAAAAAAAAAAAAAAAAAGCCACACTGTAAGGTTTTCTAGGTTTCCATGATGAAGGAAATAATGGCTTTTTTCTTAAGAGACTCTTTCTTAAGAATTTAGAATAGCACTATCCAAAAGAAATATAATGGAGCCGCATAATAATCTAATGTTTTCTATCAGCCCTGTTAAAGTGAAAGTAATAAGTGAAATGAATGTAAATAATGTATTTAGCCCAATATATACAAAATATCATCAACTCAATATGTAATGAGTATGAAAGTTATTAATGAGATGGATTACATTTTTTGTGTGTACAAGGTTTTTGAAATTTGGCATGTATTTTATACTCGTAGTACATTGAGTTTGGACTAGCCACAGTTCAAGCCTCCATGACTGTAAGTGGTTAATGGGCACCATATTTAGCAATACAGATCTGTAAGGAAATGGGCTTCTATAGCTTTGTGTAGTAAGATGATAGTTGTTGGATAAAGTACTATGAGAAGGAATGAGTAACTAGGCTTGAGTGTGAGGGTACGACATAAGGTGGCCTTAGTGAAGTCGTTAAGGAGGAGACAGTGGATGTCTCTCCTGACTAATCTAGGAGAGAAGGGGGGAAGCACATTTTAGCATTGAACAGAAGTGCATACATAAAAGGATTTAACAAATCATCTGGTATAACTAGAGAGCAGAGCATGTGAATAGAAATCTATATTTCACAAGCTCAACCTTTCCGAAACCTTTAATGAAGCCAGAAAGATGTAGCTGTCTTAATATCTATTTTTACAAAGAATGATCACAGCTGTCATCAAATCGTGAGATTAATGAAATGGTCCTAAGCTTCTCTGCTTACTACAGGGAAATCTTCTAAGAAAAACACATTAGTTTAAACTTCCTGGGCATCTTTTTAAAGAGACCTGGGCCATCAAAATTCTCCTCTAAGCATTTCTAAGTATATTTTCCAAGTATTAAGAAGACCAGCAAAAATATTTACTATGTAGTTGATTTGGCATGTTCTTTTATGACCATTTTGGATTTACTGATCTAATTATTGCTTTATATGCTTTGTTTTATATATTTTTTGTTCTATCTTATATAGAATAATTTAAAATTATTATAGAGAGTTACAGTTTTTGTCTTTCATGTCATATGACTATTCATAGCAGTGATTTATTTAAAGCTGTATTCTTGCTCAAGAATTTTATCTTACCGTTATAAATTGGCTCTGTACAAAACCAAAATATGCTGCTTTATGACATTTCCAGGATAATGTGATAAAACTTAGTAGATTGCCCATATATAGCACCGATTGATAGTGACTGGTAGTAGATCAAATATTATGCCATTTATTCCATTTGACCAATGGGGCCATTAAGGTAGAATGTGGTAAAAGCCTTAGGACTATCCAACTGACTTACTAGCAGTCGAAGGCTCACATATACACTGAAATTTTTGTGAATATAGTAAATAAAACTCAGAGGCCTTTTTGTGTCTGATATATAGTAAAGATCATTACCACAAGTTCTGGTGAAGGCTATACTCTGATTCTAAAGACAATTGATAGGCTATGTTCAATAGCCAACTCAGAAAGTTTCTAGCTAGAATCTTTCTAGATAGAGAGATTAGGAAGATACTATGAGAGGCTTGTGTATTAAGTTTCTTGTTTCTGTTTGTTGTTGTTGTTTTTGAGACAGAGTCCTGCTTTGTCACCCTTGGTAGAGCGCTGTGGCATCATTGCTCACAGCAACCTCAAACTCTTGGGCTGAAATGGTTCTCTTGCCTCAGTCTCCCTAGTAGCTGGGACCACAGGCACACACAACACCTGGCTATTTTTAGAGATGGGGGTCTTGGTCTTGCTCAGGCTGGTCTCCTATTTGTGAGCTTGTGTAATCCACTTGTCTCAGCCTCCTGGAGAGCTAGGATTACAGGCGTGAGCCACCGCGCCTGGCCTCTTTTTAAAGATCTTTGTAATGATACTTTGCTGACAGGTACAGAGTCCCTTGTGTGCCTGTGATCATGTATCAAAACTGAGTATAAAATCAGGCCATGATAAGAAGCTCATCTGCCACAAATGAATGTCATAAACTTTAAAAAATGGAGGCCAAGTGTAAGAGAATGAAAGCCATTCTGTGGAGCCAATAAAATCCTTAAAAGTCTCATTAGTGCTCCCCTCAACGAGAGAGAAGCTAACAGAGTATGATTCGTTAGCTCTTCTCTCTTCTGAACTTGTTAGTAGGAATGGCTTCTGGCAAAAGGTGGTAAGTGAACAGGAAAAAGTCAACAACTGGAGCTGTTTCCCCCGTGAAGGAGGTGAAGGCTCCACTGCTCTACACCAAATGGGAAGACTGACCCAAAGCATTAGTGTTTTGTCACCCTACACGAGAATGATATAAACGTACCTTTTTTCCCCCAAACTAGCAGAATGAATCTTGCTATGGGATATTTTTTAAACATTGCAGAAGGTAGCTCTGAGTCCAGGTATATACATAAACCAACAAGTTAAAGATGTTATAAAAATTTTTGTTTCAGCCAATGAAAAAAGAACTTACAAAAATAGGTAAGGAAAACTCTCAGATGGTAAGAGGAAAATGTTCAAAGTTATATAAACAGACAAATCTCAGAAGATGAAAAAAAAATGAACAATAAAAGTATGTAAGAAGTTTCACTTTGGTGACATCAGAAATGCAAATGAAAGCAATTGTTAGATATTCTTTTCCCATCAAATGTAATTCTATCATGAGACTTAAAAATTATGCTTATGCAATAAAATATGTACCTATGAGTTAATGATGGTATAAATGAATACAAACATACTTAGCATAAATGCAAATTTAGTGGGTGAACATATGATTAGAAAATTAGGATGTTTGCATTGTCTCAAAGTATCTGCTCATAAGATACCTATCTTTAATTAGACGAAAAAGAACAGTTAGTTTCCAGTGGTGACGCCTGGTCTTTACTCCCTTCATCAGTTGATTATGATCAGTGACAAGACACGCTACATCATGTGTTTTCTGCAGAGAACACACTGTCACGTCTTGGCATTCACACCAAAGATTTATAAACCTAATTTAATAAAGGAGCAGCATCAGAAAAACCTCAATTGAGAGACGACATCCTACAAAATAAGTAGTTAGTATAGTTCTCTTAGAAGATGTCATGGGTTTGAAAGACAGACTGGAGAACTGTCCTAGATTGGAGGAACTAATGAGACGTGACAAAGAAAACCCATGTGGAGTGACCATCTTGGACCTAAGCAAAGGTCATCAGAGGAAAATTGGAGACATTGTATAAGGTCTGAAGATTAGCTGATAGTCTTGCTTCCATTTTAATTTACTGGTTTTTACAATTGTACTATGGCTGTATTGGGGAAGATTAGTAAGTGGTATATGGAAATTATCTGTACTGTGTTTCCACTGTTTTAAACTGTGGAATTATTTCAAAACGAATATTTGGAATTTTTTAAAATCCTGAAAAACTTTTGACTTCTCTTTAACATGCAGACTAAAACAGAGACCTCAGAACAACCAACTAATCAGCTACTGCCTGACTCTTCAACTTCACACATGATTGCAGACATACTGCAGCTTAAAAATGAAATTCAGGTTTTGCAGCAACAAAATCAGGTGATTAGAAGTATTTTCCATATTTTAATGAAAATTTTCATGGACTCGTTAAATACAAAGGGTATAATAGACTTTTCAAAAGCATACTAGTAGGTAAGTATATTGATGGGTGATTATGAGTTCCATTTATTTTCCTTTACTAGTGATTACTGGGTAGTAGCTTCTTCTGCAGGTAGGTTAGTATAATTCTACTTCCCTTTCTCTGCAGCAGCATAGCTAATAGAGGTGTTCTTTCTTCCTTAGCCAGCCCTTGACCAACAAGTAAAACCTTGCTTATTTAGATGGTGGCTGAAGATGATTGAATACTGAAATTTATTTTAAGGTACTACTTAGCCAGCATTTCTCTGGTTAAGTATATTAATTTTATTCACTTCAAAGTAAATACAAAATTCGAACTCTTACTCCTGTCCAAAAAAGCTACTTGTAAAAGAAATGAATCTATGCTGTTTCAAAACATGAAGGGACTTTTTCTTTTGTAGACTAGTGAAAATGGCATTATATCAAATAATGCTATAGGACAGAGATCCAGCACAGAGGATGTTAAAAAGTAAGACAAGACCAATCAATGAAAATGATGTTAATTTCATCTAAAGATGTTATTCTTTTGTGTCTAGGAACTTAAAGAAACTGAAGAAAAACTGAGAAATACAAATCAAGACTTATGTAATCAAATGAGACAAATGGTACAGGATTTTGACCGTGATAAAAAAGAAGCTGTGGACAGGTACGGTCGAGAGAGATCCCTGTTGAGATCTTGGATTGGCTGAGACAGTCCCTGGCTTTTCAAGTTAGAATTTGGAACACATTTCCCACAGAGACAATGTTCTGTAAAAGGTCGGGTTCTATATCATCATCGAAACTGTAGTTCACTGAAATACTATAGCTTGGTGTGTTTTCTGAGGCTAATCTGGGAAACTATTCTTTATAAAGAAGAAATCTGTGGGAGGGAATATGTCTTCCAAATATGAAATCATGAACTTGGAAACAGAGTTTTGGAACATAACCTACTTGTGAGTCGGGTACTGCTAGTATTTGCGTTTAATAAAGATGACTTAGAATTTTGGAACCACACCCTCAAGTACTTCAATTAATTTTTTATAAATGAAAGTCTTCAACATCGACTACTATCTGCAAAGGACAGGGCATTCTCACTTACATATGTCTAATTTTTCTCTAAAAATATCCAAAGAAAAAATTTTGAAGATTCTGATAAGATCATAGATTATAAATTATTACCACTTTTGGTTGAGGGGATGTAATCTCACCTTAATTATCATTTGTGTTAGAGGGAAGGGGTGCGAAGGCATTCATTTTGGTGTTTGTAGTGAAGCCAGCATCACCTCGGATTTTTGCTTTGTTTCTAGGTGTGAGAGGACTTACCAACAGCACCATGAAGCCATGAAAGCCCAAATACGTGAAAGTCTATTGGCGAAGCACGCTTTGGACAAACAGCAGCTCATTGAGACTTATGAGAGGACTCACTTGCAACTTAGGTTAGAATAAAAGGGGTTGATTGCCCTTTCAGCAGACTACATTCTTTTCCATAATTTAGAGGAAATTTGTTACTCAGCCTTGGTAATTTGGGTGATAATTTAGTTGCCGGTTTTGTGTCCCAGGTCTGACTTAGATAAGATGAATAAGGAGGTGGCTGCTGTGCAGGAATGCTACCTGGAAGTGTGCAGAGAGAAGGATAATCTAGAATCGACTCTCAGGAAGACCTTGGAAAAGGAGCAGCAGGCTCAGGAGAAGGTACACAAGTTTCTGTTGTATCTGTCTCACCTGACTTGACAGCCCTCGGTGCTGTTATCCAAACGGACACACTTGTTCTGGGGAAGTGAAGGGGCAAGGTATTCATAGAATCTCTTCCCCTTTAGCTGTGTCACAGCAATATGGCTTGCTCACACAATACCGTGAGTACCGAAATGATTATTAAAACCTTAGTATAAAATGGCACATATATAGAAGAAAATGAATTTTTTTCTTCTAGATTTATTCTAGAAGGCAAAAAAGTAAATCAAAGTCATTTTAAGTCTGAAACCTACATACCTTCATTTTTCAAGACCAGCTGTGTAGTCCTGTGACCACTGTACAGAGTATTCTGTCAGAAGCCTTTTCCACCGGCTCACTCCTTTTGCAGTATCTAATTGTCACTTTACACTTCTGGGGAGAAAGGCAGGAGTTTGAGCAGTGGTCTCATGATAGGGAAGGTGATAGTGTGAGGGCGTGGCTAGGAAGATCTTAGTGTTAGTACAGGCAGTCCCCAGGTTACAAGCCTCCAAGTTAAACACAGCTCACCTTTTCGAATGGAGCCTATTTCAGGTCATAGGTAGATGTACCTGTTCCAACTTACATACACATCCAACTTGAGAACAAACCCACAGAACCTATCTCGTTTATAACGGGGGACTGCCTGCCTGACTTCTCTCAGGGAATCTGGAAGGGCTACAGTGGATTCTCTCACTCTGCCCACTCCTTCCACGTTGCCCTTGGTGAGCATCCAGGAATAAAGTCACGTGTAAACAGTCACTGCTCCTCTTTTCTTCCCTCCCTGGCGTGGCGCCTCACCCGGCCTCACACAGGTCTGACTGTCCCTTACACTTTGGACCAGGTGGCAGACCACAATTTGAAAGCCACCTGCCTCAAGATCAGAAAATATTTTGAAAGGCTTGAGTGAATGTTCTATACAGAGATTTTGGAGTAAGTTATATTAAAGCAACCTATCGCTACTGCAAACTTAGAATAGTAAAATGCAGGTGAGGAATTCAGTTCGTTTAATATTTTGATTATTTTTGAATAGATTAATATGATGAGAAAGCACGCTGTGCATACATATCGTCTAGTGGAAACAGTACTTCCAAAGGGAGCGGTTTGAGTGAGTGCTGGCAGCAGAAAGGTTGGAGAGGGTCTTGAATTACCTCGAAATTAAGGACATAGCTTCAGTAATGTTTTAAAAACTTCAATAGGGAGAAGATCTCTAGTGTGGTTCCTTTCTTAAAATATCTAAATTGGCAAGAAGGTAAGAGTGATTCTCTGAAAGTGGTCATTCTTTTCAGGAATATTTTCTGATACTTTCAAAAGAATCAATTTGACTATGAAATTTGGTCTCATATGACAGGTCAAATTAATAGCTGCTCCTGGCTAATATTTTGATATGTGAGTGTGCAAAAGTGCAAGAAAGAAAATTAAAACTGCTATTTGGCCCTTCAAAAGCAAAAGCGAACCTAGAGATAAAGGTTTTTCTTTAAAAATTCTTGCGCCATAAAACTGACTCTCCCCGCCTTTGGGAAGTTGCCTATACATTTTTAACACATTTATAGTTTTATCAGGATACAGAGCAGTTTTGTCACCCTAAAACACCCTCTTCTGGTGTCCCCTAGTGCTTAGCCCCTCCCTACCCCCACTTAAAAGGCCAGTGTATTTAAAGCATTACAATTTTTATTTCTTCTTTCTCTAGGAATCCTTTAGTTTTTTTTTTTTAAATTACAGATTTTTGTAAGACCTTAGTAGTCTTTATAAGCCTATCAGAACTGAAATACCCGTACATTTAGGAGGCGTTAATTTTTTCACATCCTTCACCAATTTGCTTTTCTTAGCAAATGTTTGTTTCATGCACACAATGGAGGAATCTTATTAAAATCTATAGCAAGTGAGGGGACTTTCAGGGTAGCCTTTCCCTATACGATGTAAGCTATTTTCCTGTGGTTGAGCTCTAGGTAGCCAACTTAATCTGGATACAGCATTTATGAGAGCGGTGACACCAAAGCCCAAGGGGATATTTTCACGTTCCACAGGTGCTGCTTTTTGAAACACTTGTTGAGTCAGGCTGTGGGTTAAGTAGGAGCTGAATTTCAAGTTTAACAGCTTGTATCAGCCCAGAACTTTCCTCACATGTTAACCTGGCTCACTGAGAGAAGGAGAAAAAACTCACATACACAGAACTCTGCGGATTAGGTAGTAATCAGTGTGGACCGTGACTTCACAGACAGGGCAGAGATGCTCAGCACTCCCTTCATAATGCTATTCTTATACACATTCTTAAGCTTGCTGGATATAGTTATGATGTGATGCAGAGCCAAGTAGGTGCCTCTTAGAGGATTTTTTAAGTTTTTTGCATCCAAGTTAAGTATAAGTTTAAATGTTTTTAACTTGGAGACTGTAAGTATCATGCAGAGATATTTTCTTGAATTTTGTTTAAAGAGACAGCTATTGGAAGAAAGAGAAGATTATGTAAGCAAACTGCAGGTCGGAATTGAAGAAAACTACCGAGATACCCTTGTGATGGAAAAGAGCAAGTGGCTAAAAGAACAGGAAACTAATATTAAACAGCAAGTTGAAAATGAAGTGGTGTTAGTCAAAGCACACTGGGAGAAGGAACAGACAGAGGTGTGGATTTAAACTTTCTGGTCACCATGTTTTTTTTTTTTTTCTTTTTTGTAGAGACAGAGTCTCACTTTATTGCCCTGAGTAGAGTTCCATGGCTTCACATCTCACAGCAACCTTCAGCTCTTGGGCTTAGGCGATTCTCTTATCTCAGCCTCCTGAGTAGCTGGGACTATAGGCGCCTGCCACAACACCCGGCTATTTTTTATTTTGCAGTTTGGCTGGGGCTGGGTTTGAACCTGCTCCCCTCGGTATGTGGGGCTGGTGCCCTACCCACTGAGCCACAGGTACCGCCCAGTCACCATGTTTAAAAAAATGTGGGAGTAGCTGCAGAGGACGATTCTTCCTGAACAGACATATGTAATAATTTTTAATTGCCAGGCATATACACAATCACCCATTTTACCTTTCAGAATTGAACTATTAGCAGCTAACCATACCAGTTTTATTTTTAAAAGTTTATCCCCCCCATGACTCTTCAACCCAATTCAGGATATAGCATGTTTTAAGGGCACATTTTTCCTCAAAATGAAACTATGATCTAATGTCATATTGTGAAATGCTTCTTTCTGATAACTGTAGACCAGTATCTATAATTAACAAATAATCCACATCATGGGTTAAAAGAAAGAGGGAATGGGTAAGCTCAGAAGTACGGAGTGTATGACCTCTGTTGCCTACATAGCAAATGAGATTAGGAAATGCTCATAGTGCCCTGGAAAGTTAAGATCAAATTGTGATTTTAAAAATTTATTTGGAGAGGAAAAAAAATTCTCAAGCTTATTTAGACAAGGTTCTTCTACCCATGAGTTGCTATTCTTCTGGTCGCCAGGGAGGCAGTTTGAGAACCCTGGGTATCCAGGAAGTGGGGAACAGGAGAAGGGAAAGCAAAGTTTGCTATTTCACAGCTTTGCCCAAGACTGATTGTGTTTAAATCAATTCTACCACACTATAAAAGCAGAAAAGTCATTAAGATGTTCTTCCAATAATGCCTTCTTCTTAAATGCTATCTACTTAGTAAAATCGTATCATAGTAAAATAGTAAAGTCAAATCACATCGTAACAAATACAATTGTAATGTGTTCAAGTGAGTAAACGGTTTTTTAGATTGTTCAGTTTGGGGCACATTCATTAGATTTCCTCAGTGCCTATTCTGTGGAAAGTGTGGTGTTAATGGCACAACATAATAATAGCAACGTGTTTTTTTTTCTTTTTTTATATTATCTTTGTACTGGCAATATGAACGCTTCCAGAAAGTTGCATATCGAGAGCAAGATAGTCTGACTTTACACAACATACTTAAATCTTCTGTGTAATTTTTGTCATACAGTTAGGTCAAAGAGTAACTTTCAAGTTGTACTTGAGAATGTATTTTCATTGACTGAATTTCCAAACCTCTTGTAATTAACCACAACAGTGTCAAGACAGGTTTTCAAACACAGCTGTGGTTCCCTTTTTGGCTAGCTAGTAATTCTAGTTTTTACTTATTCTTCTAGTATTTTTCTTCTCATATGACTTTTCTTCTGAAAACAGATCAAACAAAACCTCATTCAACAGCTTGAAAAGGAGTGGCAGTCGAAGCTGGATCAAACTATAAAGGAGATGAAAAAGAAGACCTCAGATTGTGGCAGCCAGACGGACCAAGTAACCACCACTGATGTTATTTCCAAGAAAGAGATGGCAGTCATGATGGAAGAGGAGAAGCAAAAGATCCAGCAAAACTTAGAACAAGAGAAGGAAATAGCTATCAAAGAGGCTTTGAAGCAACTTGAAACTGAATTGGAACTTAAATATTGTGAAAATATCGCCAAACAGGTAATAGGCAGGTTTATTCTGGTGAAATTAATAGACCTATCTGCCTCTTAATCAAAACTTGTAAAATGCTACTGTTGAAGTTATACATTACTTTATACATCTAAAATTTTGTGCATTCCTAGGACAGTAAATCTGTCGTGTTATTCCTAAAATTGTCTTCATTATATTTCTACCTGTTAACCCTTTGGTTTTTGTGTGTATTCTTTCAGTTGACAAAATGCTTGCTCCTCTGAGATCAATCTAAGCCTTAAGATGCCTGAGGTTAAAGATGGTGGTTTTGCGTCTGGATAAAGCACAATTTACTGATGAATATTTCACAGCTATAGTTTTATAGAAAATATTCCACTGAGTTAGTTATGGATAAGCAAACCTAAGCAGATAAAGTATTTAGCAATATTTGTGTTGAGACTTGATGCAGAGCTGAATCTGCAAGCATGTCCTGAAGTGGAACTTTGTTTATAATTTCCATCAGCTGCCCCAAAGTGGTGCCATTGCCTTTTCTTTGAAGCACTCACAAAACTAGCTTTTAACTGAAGCAAGTTACTTGATTTCAAAGAAACGACATATTGAGAAAAGCATAGCCTGTGTTAACAGAATAGAGATGAATGGTCTGTTATATCTATCTTATCCACTACAGTGATTTTCAAAATTTTTGGTTCAGGACTCTTTTACACTATTAAAAATTGAGAACTTGAAAGAGCTTTTGCTCATGTGGGTTTTATCTATTTACTGTATTGGAAAATAATTCTTGAGAAATTTTTTAAAAACAAGAGTACCCAACCTACATTCCTTTGGCTATCAGAGCAATGACATCATCACATAGCATGTAGCCTTTGGAGGACTATGCTGTTTACACATGAGAGAATGGGAGTAAAAAGGACAAATGGCTCAGCTCCTATAGCTCAGCAGCTAGGGTGCCAGCCACATATACTGAAGTTGGCGGGTTCTTATCCAGCCTGGGCCTGCCAAACAACAATGACAACAATAACCAAAAAATGGCCGAGCATTGTGGTGGGTACCTATAGTCCCAGCTACTTGGGAGGCTGAGGCAAGAGACTCATTTAAGCCCAAGAGTTTGAGGTTGCTGTGAGCTGTGATGCTACAGCACTCTACAGCTTGATATTGTCTCCAAAAAAAAAAAAAAGAGCAAATAGTGTCTTAATATGATTTGACCTCACAGACCATCTGACATGGGTTCTAGCCCTCAGGAGATCCCTGGACCTTTAAATATCTATTACATATTTTTTATTTTAGATCTATTATTATAAACTTTTTTTTTTTTTGTGCAGTATTTTTTGGCCAGGGCTGGGTTTGAACCTGCCACCTCTGGCATATGGGACCGGCACCCTACTCCTTTGAGCCACAGGTGCTGCCCCATAAACTTTTAATATAATACCTGAAATGAGGTTTTTGATAAATACTTGCCATTTTGCTTGTTACATGGTTCCTCATGATTTTATGAGACATCCTTAAAGTCTGCAGACGGAGACAGATGTATGTAATGGTATCAAAGACATCGTCTTCAGTTGGTTAATTAAATAGTTTTTTCTGGAATATTCACTGAAAGCCTTAAATTTTCCATAGACAAAATGATGAGTTTAAGGGTCCTGCTTTGGTATTTATGAAATTGTTACTCTTGTGAGGAAAAAAATAGCATAAGAGAGAAAGGAAATGTTTCATAATAACTTTTAAAGTAATATAAATTTCTATAGAAGTCTTATCTTTTCCCCTGTATTTTTAACTCCCTGGAGTTTACAGGTATATACATAGCACGTTAGTGAGAAATATTGCTTTTTATATTTATTCACTCTGCTTTTGTATGTATAAATAAATGCATATGTCTGTATGTGTTTTAAAACAAAGGAGTAAAGAAAAATTATTTAACAAACAATCTTCTGGTAACTACTTTTATAACCCTCTTCATCAAGTTTTAAATTTTTGCCTGACTTGAACCATTACCCTCATTCTTTAGTACAAGTGCATTCTGGACCATAGGAAAATTTGCCAGACGTGAGGCTCCATTGGGGGTGTGTGTGTGCGCAAGTGCAGGGCATGAGGCGTGAGGAGAGGGGCAGTTGTTGGACAGCAGCTGGCTGGCACGGAGCGGCTCTCTGGCAGGCCTCCTTTTCCCCAGGATAAGTAGGCGTTATGGGAAATGGTGATTGGTACTTCATATGCAGGCGGTCCCCGAGTTACAAACATCCGACTTATGTACAACTCACACTTATGAATGGGGGCTATTCTTGTAAGTCCCCAAGTTACAAACACGCCACTGGCTTTTGACCCGCACCTACGAACACGCACTATTTAAGATAAATGTACCCATTCCAACTGACATACAAATTCAACTTAAGAGCAAGCCTGCGGAACCTCTCTCTTTTGTAAACTGGGGGCTGCCGGTAAAGCTTTCTAGGGTAGTTATTGGCTGTCAGACATTTAGATTCCCACGTCCTGTCGCGGCATTTGTATGGGATGTTTACGATAGAAGGATTTGGATCAACTGTTGGGGTAAGGTAAGGTCCTTGGGTCAGTGTCACTATAATGTAGTGAAATACAGTGTCAAACATCCATGAAGTCATAGCTGCTATTTGAAAACGGGGTCTTTCTGAAAGCTCCCTTTCTGACCCTCTTTGTTGTGCCGTGTTCCCCAGGTAGAAGTAGCCGTGCGGAACGCCCGGCATCGATGGCTGGAAGAGCTGCCTGACCTCGCAGAGTATCAGGCACTAGTGAGAGCGGAACAGAAGAAGTGGGAGGAGCAGCAGGAGGCCTCTGTGGCCAAGCGGGTAAGAGGTCGTGGGAAAGAAGCTTCAGGGGGTTGCCTCACCCCTCCTCTCATCCAGGTCCTTGGAATTTCCACCTACTCATAGTGTTGTCAGAGGTTTTTTTCTTTCTTTTTTTTTTTTAATTGAATGGTAACTATGTACATTAATGCATTTCTGGGGTACAGTGTGGTGTTTTCACATACAATTTGAAACATTTCATCAGACTGGTTAACGTAGCCTTCATGTCGTTTACCTAGTTATTGTGCGAAAATGTTCATATTCTACTCTTAGAAAGGTTCACTTGTACCCTTGTAAGATAAACCACAGAAGTGAACCCTCCAATCCCCCTCCCTCCACCCATTACCCCCTCTCCTCTCCTTCCCCCCTCCCTGTATTCTTAGGCTGTTATAAGGTTATAGCTTTCATATAAAAGGTATAAATTAATTTCATGATAATGAACGTTAAGCTTTAGCTCCAGGCCTAGCAAGTGGTATCTGTTCCTATCATCAAGTTGTTTGGGGAGAAAGAATTTATTTTAGCATCTTAAAACTCTCATAGTTAGGAAGATAACCTTAACTTAGAAACTAAATCCCATTCTACTTATTATCTTGCCCTATCTGTAGATGAGATTGAGAATGGTTATTTATCTATTTATTATTAACTATACAGTATTCTTCTACATGCTTATGGGTTGTTTTCTGTGCTGCGTCTGTAGGTTTATAACATATTCTTGTTGGTAAATAGCCAACTCTCCCTTCCGGAGATGTCACATTCTTTGACTGGAAAACACATATTATAACCATGTGTATTCTTACAACTTAATTTGCTGGTCTAAAACAATTTTAATCAAAAGGTCAACAAACTGAACATAGTTTTGAAAGTTGACACAATAATTTTATAAAGTTTATTTGGAAAAATACAAGAACTAGAACTTTTTTAATGTTCTTGAGAAGAAATCACAGTCCCTGAACACAGAATATATTGGAAAGCAACAGCCCAACTGTGATTCAGGCAGTACCGAATCACAAAAATAGAATTGTTTTTAATCCAGTGCAGTGCAGATTTCAGAGATAGTTCCAACTATACCCAGAAGCTTAATAAATTGTGTTGAAGTAGGGGGATAAGGAAGTATTCCATAATAAATAGTCTAATGATAGCCAGATAACACTTTGGAAAAATTAAGTTTATCTACACTGTGTGTTATAGTAAACTCTAGGTCGATGAAGGAGTTAAACACTTTTGAATGAAAATATAGAAAAGTTAAAATAAAATATTTCAAATCTGTGTTATAATAACATCTTGAGTCCACGGATAAGTTTGCCAAGGACATGAGCAGATAATCTTCATGAGAAGTTCAAATAACAAAAACTTAGCAGAACATTCATTTATACTGACCAGTATTAGGGAAACGCATATTAAAACAAACCGAAGGCACCACTTTTTGCCAGGTGTATAAATCCTCTCTTTTGAATTGTAATACACAGAATAGAATATAATTGCAGTGTCAAGCATATACTTCCCTTCTGATGTCACAATGATTTTGGAAAATAATGTAGTGTAAACATAAGTCATAAATGATTTGTAACTCATGTTCATCATCTTATTCCACAAATTACTTAAGGAAATAATTCAACATAAGTAAAAATCTTTTGAATGTTGTTCTTAAGTTATGTGGTAGGTACCCACAATGTTATTAGTTACATAGGTATCCATAATGTTATTCTCTATACTTTTTAGTATGTCTGAAATATTTCAAAAGGAAATTTGAGAAAGAAGAAATAATATGATGATGAGGATATATGTCTCAGAAGTCAGGTAGCAAAATGAAATTATGTACAATATAAAAAATAAAATAGACTAAGAGATCTTTCATTAAGAACATAGAAGGACTAGATGTATGTGAATCCAGAAACAGAAATGAGCAAATAGTGGATCATACTGTTGCTTCTCAAACTTTAGCAGGCATGAAAGTCACCTGCAGGGTGTGTTAACACATAGATTCCTAGGCTTTTCTCCTAGAGATAGATAAAGATTTGGTAGATCTGGAGTGAGTTCTGAGAAATTGCGTTTCTAACAGGCTCCCAGAGGTTGTGATGCAGCTGGCCTTTGGACTGCACTTGGGTGTGAGAAGCACTGTTCTAGATAATTGTATCAGCCACAAAACGTAATGCTAAGGTGTGCATCCTTCCTTCAAAGCAAAGGAGGTTCAGAAAGGTTCAGTTTTATAACATTGGCTGGAGAGTTCTTTTAAGATTAGAGTGATTAGTGAAGATCGGTGGCAATTTAAAGTCAATTCCTAGAATTCAGAAATAGTGAGGTTGGTTCAGTAATCCTCAAACTTTGCTGTACACAGGAATACCTGGAGGCTCTTTAAAAAATACTGTGGCCTGGCCCCCACCCTCAAACTTTAGGTATTTATTAGTATAGTGACTGGCCTTGGCTTTAGGATTTTTTAAAGTTCCTCAGTTGATTCTAATATGCAGCAAATTTTGTGAACCACTAAGTTCCTTAATGCTGTCAAATACTCCTTGCCAAACTTCACATGAGAAGATTCATGTTTTTGGTAGTATTGGGCAAGTGATCCAGACTCCCTGGGACCCACCACCTCCATGCAAGTTAATTGGTAAAGATTTCCAGGCATCCACTGCAACATGACTTGTTTTCTTTAAAAATGCTATTTAAATATGTTTCAAATCACTATAGAATTATCCTGCTGGTAACAAAAGAATTTTGCAATGAATTCCTTTGTAAAGTTTAGATGTTGGGTTCCTTTAGTAGAAAATTTAGTAAGTAGATACCGTATTTCATTATTCCAAACATATATATAATATTGATTAATAGCAAATGCTATTCTCTAGGCCAAGACTTTGGAGTTGACCAATTCTGTCTTTTGACACTATTGTGTCCTTGTTTGTGACTTCTTTGAATTCAGTCAGGGCATATTAGAAGTAAAAGGGTCCCAAAGTCATCGGCCAGTCTGCTCATGATATAGGGGAAGATACTAAATGCCAGAGTGACTTTTCCAAGGCTGTGCACCCAAAGGCAATACTAACTACATAATGGTTATTGAGTCCTTATTATCTGCCAGGCTCTGGGCTAAATATTTTAAATGGATTGTCTTATGTTATTTAGGCAAACTTATCAAATTGGCACTATAATTATTCCCATTTTATAACTCAGGAAATTGAGGCTCAAAGAAGTTGAGGAGTGAGCCTCCAGTTCCGCAGCCAGTGAGTTAGCCCCAGCAGTTTGTCTCCAGCAGGTGTCCTCAAACTACGGCCTATGGGCCACATGCAGCCCGCCTAGGACATTTATCTGGCCCACCAGGTGTTTTTGCCGCCACTGCCTGTCCTGCTTAGCAGCCACCTCATCTTGGGGCCTGTAGTCCAGCCCTCTAATGGTCTGAGGGACAGTGAACTGGCCCCCTGTGTAAAAAGTTTGAGGACCCATGGTCTCCAGAGTTGGCTGTGTTAAGCACCTGTGCTGGCAGCCTTTGCAGTCAATGGCGGGATTAGAGCCAAAGCCCAGGTTATGATATTCCTATTACTTTCTAGTTAGCTACTATCCCTGTGATCCACTAATCCTATTATTTTGTTATAGAAACAGATTAATGAAAAATGATTTTCTCTGCTTGCAATTGTCATTTAATGAACTAGTCTGTAATATTGCATTAAAGCATAGTTATGTTTATCAGAAAATAATTATGCAGGTATATGTTATGTGCATAGGCTGTATTAAGATTCCCTTATAAGACTGCTTTTGCTTTAAGTAAAAGATACTTAATTTTGGGGGGGCTTAGATAAAATTTGATGGTATATCTGTATTAAAAAAGCCTAATATGAAATATTTTCATAATATGGGTGTTTTTATACCTTTATGTTTTTTACACACACACACTCACATACACACCTGCACTCCCCCTCCCCCTTTTTTTTTTGGTCAATTTTGACTTTTGTTTCCCCATCAAGAAACTAATGTTTTGTTTTTAAATAACATAAGATATAAACTATTAGATTATTAAATGAAGAAGATCCTTAAAGGATAGTGTAAGTATATTTTTTAGAATATCTTATCCACATTAAGTTCAGGAGTTAACCGAAATAGTTACTTTAATTTTTTTGTTAATGAGAAAAATCATAAAGGTTCCTTAAATCATATATTGTTACGTTTTTTAGATATTGTTTGCTGTTTCTGAAGCTAAAGAGAAATGGAAAAGTGAGCTTGAAAATATGAAGAAAAATGTAATACCTGGAAAGGAATTGGAAGAGAAGATTCAGTCTCTTCAGAGGGAACTGGAGTTAAAGAATGAGGAGGTCCCTGTGGTCATCAGGGCTGAGCTGGCTAAGGCTTGGAGTGAATGGAACAAAGAAAAGCAAGAAGAAATCCACAAAATTCAAGAACAAAATGAGCAAGATTACCGGCAATTTCTAGATGATCATCGAAACAAAATTAATGAGGTGCTTGCGACAGCTAAAGAAGACTTTATGAAACAAAAAACTGAACTGCTTCACCAGAAGGAGACAGAATTACAGACATGTCTAGACCAGAGTCGTAGAGAGTGGACTATGCAGGAAGCTAAGAGGATCCAACTGGAAATCTGTCAGTATGAGGAAGACATCCTCACAATCCTTGGGTTTCTCTTATGGGATGTCCCAAAGGAGCACATCACTGGTTTGGGGGACAAACAGCTTTTGGAAATGGTGTCGATTTGTTCTTCAAAATGGGTGTCTGTCCAATATTTTGAAAAACTAAAGGCCTGCATTCAGAAGGCATTTCAAGATATCCTTTATCTACTTATAGAAAATGCTGACTCAGATAGGGAAAAGGTATGTTCCTGAGAGTAAAAAGAGCTATTGAACGTCAAGGATGATTGTAGAAGTTGTATGCGGTATTTTTCCTTTCTTCATTATAAGATGTAAGACTTGCTTTTGCCAGTGGTTTAAGAAACTTTTTGTAGCAAATCAAAAGGTTTTGTATATTTTGTTGTAAAAATACTTCACTACCTCACAGTCACAGATATAAGCTTTTAGCTTCTAGACAATTTTTTCGTAAAGAATATGTGCTATTCTTTGTAAGGGCCTTGTAAGATTTTAGAAACTGGGTAACTCTTATTCCTATTTTTTGTTTTCTGGGCCTGACCACATCAAGAAACATGTATCGGCTCAGTGCCTGTGGCTCAAATGGCTAAGGCGTCAGCCACGTACACCCAAGGTGGCGGGTTCGAATCCAGCCTGGGCCCGCCAAAACAACAATGACGGCTGCAACCAAAAAAAAAAAAATAGCCGGGCGTTGTGGTGCGCACCTGTGGTCCCAGCTACTTGGGAGACGGAGGCAGGAGACTTGCTTGAGCCCAGGAGTTGGAGGTTGCTGTGAGCTGAGATGCCACGGCACTCTACCCAGGAGGGCAGCTTGAGGCTCCTGTCTCAAAAAAAAAAAAAAGAAACATGTATCATATTAAATTAGAGTTTTGTAAAATCTTCTGAAGTGTTTAGAAGTCTGTTTCTTGCCTTTACCTATTTCAGTAAAAAATGCCAAATGAGTACAGAGAGTATTGATATGGAAACAAGAGAATAGAGGTAGGACTGACTTACACAAAACTCTGATGATGGTCTCACTGGTGTGCTATGGATGTGTATGTGCTATGTGCACACAAAAAGGTTTACTTGGACTCTTTTAGTCATATAAGCACTCTGGGACCTGCTTTTAATCTGTGTGGAAGATCTGATAAAACTGAAGTCTTTCTACCTTATGGTTAAAGAAATGAATATGCATGAAAGATTTCAACATTTGGAACTGGAAGTTAAAAAAAAAATTCTATTATAATTGTCTGGTAGGAGAGTTGAGACATAAGAGTTAAGGTAGCAAAAAGATAGCATGATTATAGGTTTTCAAGGCCAAGATTGAGCATTTGATATTATATTAATCCCTACTTGAAAGAGTTACAAACTAGAAAACAAAAACCTGCCTTCCAGTGTCATACTTGATGATAACTAGCTCATTACTTTGGGCAGTCATATACTATAGTGTTCTCCCAAAAAAATACAAATCCTTGGCCTAATACTTTGGGTTTGGGTAGCATATTTATGACACAGTTTGGCCTTTCTGCTTCTTGTACTTGAAGCAGTACAGAATTTTAGAGCCAGAGGGACCTGAAAAGTTAGTCCATTCTATCCCGGTTTACCCTAGTTGATATTTTTATCCTTGATTTCACAAAAATGTTACTACCGAGTAGTTGCCTTCATTGGAAAAATAACTGGGCAAGATCATTTCCCATGAGTACTACTTACTATTTTATTAGGAATTGTTGGAGAAAATAGACAATTAAAATAAAAATTATCTATGGCAGGTTTTGAGGCTGAGAAGCAATGGGAAAATCATGTTATATGCTTTCAAGTCTGCTTCCCTAAAAAGGCAATCTCTGCTATCAAAATTAAGAAACTACAGCACTTTACTCCTACCGTACATACGCATATATAAACTCAATCCTGGGGTATTTTTACAATTGTGTAAGCAATGTAAGATCATCTGTGTGATTTAAGGTGGCTTAGAAGCCTATGGAGACAGACTCATGTAATCTGGTTAAGAATTTAGTCATTTGCAGCATTTGTCGGGTGGGTCAGATTCCATTCCTAAGTGATGGATGGCTTGGAAATGCTTAACCTGGGATTTGTCATAGAAGTAATACTTGACCTTCTGCTGTTTGCAGCTTAGTTCAGGGCCTTGAGATAAACCAATGATTACAAAGTCATGATAAATTTGCAGTATATGTACCATAAATGTGAAAAACCATGTTCAGTCTAGTTTTTAGAATTGTTCACACAAATTAAAACAGAAAAAATTATCAGTATAGATAAACAAGTCCTCCTTATCAAAATACTTGAGATGATTGAATAGTTTTTTAAAATGGAGAGAATGCAGCGGATTAAAAAAATACAATTTTCAAGAAAATGAATGCTTATCAAAATGCATTAATATGAGAGTTCATAATAGATAAAAGAAAACCTAAATACCAACCAAATGGAACCAAATATTCTAGCAAACTTAAGGATGCGTATTCTGTCTCTTCTTACTACCAAAGTCAGGGTAAAACTAAGACAAAAAGATTGCTGCTTTCCGGCCTTCTTTGCCTTCTTGTCTTCTCTAGTTTTGAGTAGAAACTGGAAACGTTGATTGCCTGGGGTTCAGTTTTTCTTACTCCTTTTGCCTTTTCCCTGTAATGGCTGTCCTCTGCTTCTGTTGGATGTCGTAAGTAAGTTTCCTGACATCAGTTAAATGGGTTTCTCATAAACAAAATCAAACTCAAAACTTCTAGAATCAAATATATAATGTTTTTTAAGTAATTAGATCAGATTGCTCTCTCAATATCATGTATTCTATTCTTTTTGCATGTAATAGATGTCCAGAATCTGAAAATATTGCTGTAAAAGTCCATGAATGAATTTAGTAGCTTTATCGCCTATGACAGGGAATGAAGCACAAAAGCCTTCAATAAATGTTAGTGAGGAAATAGTCTTGTGCAAGATGTTTAATTTAAGCCAGAGTTTCTGTTTTTAATGTTGGAAGTCATCTGGCCATCCTTATAAAATCAGTGTATGTTAATTTAGAAGCATATAAATTACCATTTAAATTTAATAGTTTTTATTGTTGTTATTCTCAATTTGTGGGTGATAAAAGGTTGGTATTATAGTTGCTAATGAATTTGACCCCTGCTGCAGTGGAAATGTTCTGTATTTTCAAGAACAATTCTGATTTCATATTGTCTATTCTGTGGTTTGATCACAAAAACCGTTAAAAATATCTCAAATTCCTGTATATAAGCATGCTCCCCATAGCTCCTGTCTGTCTCGTAATAAACCCACCAGTCCTCTCTCAATTTGGAAAATATAGGAGGCTAATACATAGGATAGTGACAAAATCTGTGTAACATCTTAAAAATATTGTTGATAGTTTAGGCAAGATATTTTCCAGGCCTTAGTTTTTGTTGTTCGATTGTTTTATAATTTTAATATTAGCATTTTAAATAGAAAATTATATAAAGATGTTTACTAGGCATTAACTATGAAGGTAATTTATTTCAGAGATTGGCCAAGATCTCTAAGGATCCTGCCAGCCAGGCCACTGGCAGAGGAGACTCTGGAGCCCTGACATCCCTTCCTGCAGCACCCACTTCTGGACACCATGCTCAGCCCTTGGTCTCGCAAGAAATAGAAGCCAAAGCTGGTAATTGCATCTCGCCCCCACCAGTCCTTGTAGCTTCCATAATCACCCTTCCAGAGGGTTGCTTTGAAGATAAAAGGAGATGAAAGATGTGAACAGTTTTCTGAGTGAACAATTATGTAGTACTGCTCTGACTTAATGTGTATCTTTTCCCTAGGTTTCATCTCGTGTTTAGAGGACAGGTTTGATTTGGGTCCTCGTATCTTTTTATGGATTTCCCTCCATTTACAAATGATTCTTCTTACAAGAAGAATAATGAGAATTTTAATACAGTAGTCATGTTTTCATTCCCAAACACTGAGAAAGCAGGGGTTTCACATTGCCAAAGAGAATTTTTCATTCAAATTACTAAAGTTTATTTCAACCATTTTTAGTCGAAATCTCTCTGAAGCATATTAGATGTTTTCTAATTTATTTGTGAGTTTTTTTTTGAGGGTGGAGTGGTGTGTTTAATCTCTTCTCTCACATGTGGCAGAGTGAACTGTATGTGGTTTGTGCTCTTTGGTCATTTGATGAATTAATATTGTCACTTTTCCTTACTTAGACCTGTCAGTATGACAAAGAATTATTGTACCATAGCCCCATGAACTCTGAGCTTCCTGAGGAATATAGTGCAATTATTGCCCGAATACAATGAGATTTCTGAGCTCATGTCCTTTATTTGCTCCCATCCTTCGTAGGATGTTGATTTTTTTCTTTAGTCTTTTTTCCTTAAAAACAAACACATTAATAAATTCATCAAACAGAATTAGATAATCTAAATTCTGAAACATGGTATTAAGTGAAAAAGGGTTTTATAATTCTGAACTACAGAGTACCACTGTTGACTGTCGTATTCTCCTAAAATCTGAGTATCTTTTAAAGTAATTTAAACATTAATTACGAAATACTTGTTTCATGCAGAGAATATATGTAATGCATATGTAGGTTATGAAACCTAATGATCAGGAACCTACTATTCAACTTCAGGCATAGAATGTCACCAGTACTGTTGATCACAATTCTATCCCTGAAATTTCTCCCAAACTTGAGGTTATAGATTAATTCTAATTAAAAAAAAATCAAATTCTCTTGCTTTTATGTTTTGACTATATATATATATATATATATATCTCTTTAATTCTTGACTTTTCTTTTTTAACAGTATAAATCCAGTTTAACACTTGCTATATTCTGTGTAACTTGCTCTTTCCCCATTTAGCATCATGCTATGAGATTTGTCTGTGTTGATGCATTTAGCTCTATTCATTCATTTTCCATTGCTATGTAATATTCCAGTGTATGGATATGTTATTATATAACTGATTTATCTGTTCTCTTGTCAATGGGCATTTGCATGGTTTCCAACTTTACAACAGTATCTTAAATGAAAAATATACACGTAGTGTGTGGTACTAATGTGATGCTTCGTTGAAGCTTTGATGCTCATGCACATAGACACCTCCATGGAACTAAAATGCCCCGAGTTGGCCTCTGAGTCTATGCTCATTTGTATTTCTACTTTATTATGTGACTTACGTCAATAAGAACAATCTACCATTTTCATCATTTTTGTATATTTTTATTTTGTAAATTCTATATTGCCAATGACGGCTATTATTTATCGTGTACGTGCTCTATGCCAGGTACTGTGCCAAACAGCTGTTAATACACACACCTCTCCCAACAGTTTAAGATCATTTTTTAAATTGGAGATAATTTCAAACTTACAAAGAAGTAGCAAAAATAAAAAGTTACAAAAAACACCTATCTTTTAACTAGATATTCCTATTGATAACATTGCATTCCATTTTGTGTTCTGTGTGTATATGTGAACATTTCCTTTTATTAAAATGAGGTATTTGAGCGTAAGTCATATATACATTGGGACCTTTTGTACCTAAGTGCTTCAGACTATTTTCCAAGAATAGGAATATTTTCTTATATAACCTTGGTACAGTAAACTTAACATTAGGTAAAAGTATTTCATCAGTCTGCTGTTTGTGTTCTAATTTTGTCAGTTGACCCAGTAATGTCTTGTATCACAGTTTTTTCTGTAAAGCACAGGAATCTGTCTGGGGTCAAGTATTATCAATACATTTGTTTGTTGGTTGTCTTCAGCTTCCTTTAATCTAGAACATTACCATAGCTTCTCTTCAACTTTTATAACGTTGATAATTTTGGAGAAATAATCTCTTCTCCTCCCTGAATCCTTTTTTAACAGAACTTTTCTCATTTTGGGTTTGCCTGATGTTTCTTTGTGATTAGATTCAGGCTTCTTGTCTAGAATACCGCACAGGTGATGTGTCTTCACAGTCGGGAGTACGTGGTGTCCATTTGTCTTTTATTGGTGTGGTTAATTTTGATCACTGGGTCAAAACGGTGTCCAGTTTCTTCACCCTGTAATTGCTGGGAATTTTTACACTTGAAACTAAAAGCAGTCTGTGCAAAGACACTTTTAAGACCATACAAATATTTTTCTCCTTAAAACCTTCTCTTAGGTTTGTGAATCACTGATGAATCTTGCCTGATTCAGTTTTTATTGTGATGATTGCAAAAGTATAATTTTTCTAATTCTAGACTTCCCTCTACTTATCCCCATTGGCACTCAGCATGTCATTGTAATCAAGAACCCTCCCTTCTCATTTACCTACTTGTCTGTCTATGTGCCTGTCCAGCCGCCACCTATCCATTTGCCTACCCACCAACCTAACTATCCATCTGTTCATCCATCTGTAGAATTATTACTATGACTCATATGTTTCTATATTTTCAATACTTTATAATTTATTATATTTGATTCGTGTTCAAATTATCCCAGATTCAGCTGGTAGAGCTCTTTCAAACTTTTTCCTGTGTCCTGACATGCCTGTATTTTTGAGTATTTTCTTACTTTCTGACATAGCAAGATATTTTAGTCTCATTTTATATATTCCCTCTCCCAATACTGAAGCCAGCCGTTTCTTGATGACCCCTAGTTTCTTTCGGTAGGGAATGGTATCCACTACTAAGATCCCAAGCATTAGGTTTCATAAAAAATTTTTAAAGTAAATAGTATCATGCAATGTTACATATTTAAAAACTATGCCTCAGGAGAGGTTAAATAATATGCTCCGAGTCACACAGCCAGTAAAAGGAAGAAACAAGGCTTACGCCCTGGTTTCTCCGTCACACATATCATGCTCTTTCCCTCACACTGCAGCCTTCAGTCATGAGTCTTGTTGTCTGATTTTCTTTTATTTTTTAACAGCAGTTCGTAGTCTAAGCTGATGTAAAAGTTGTTTGTTATTTAATTTTTACAGATAAGAAAAAGATCCTTGAAATTAAAGATTTATGCTGTGGACACTGCTTCCAAGAACTTGAAATGGCAAAGCAGGAATGTCAAGATCTGAAAAGAAAACTGGAGAGATGCTGTAGGCATCTTCAGCACTTAGAAAGGAAGCACAAGGCTGTAGTGGAAAAGATTGGAGGTTGGCATCTACGGTAGCGCTGCTACCAGTATCAGTCTCTGATCCTTGTTGAAATGTGCAAATGTGACGTTTTAGTTAATGTGTCTTCTGATTCTCTTTTGGGATTAATGTAAACTAATTTGGATCTTATTTTAACTAACCAAATTGTTACCACTCTACTCAAAGGAGGAAGATGTCAGCTCTGATTAAAAGGTCACATTTCTTTCTTCCTTTCTTGACTGAACAGATATTGAGGTCCCAGTGTGTGTCAAGCAGCATTGAAGGCACTGGAGATGCAGCAGTGATAGGTCAGGTGAGGTTTCAGTTCTGGTGGAGATGAGGAAGACTGTATTCCCTCCTTCAGGAAGCTTATGGTTAGGTGAGGGGAACTAGAAACAGACTAATAAATAACATAACATTGAGCACTCTCGGCAGTGCATTATGTATAATTTTTGTAAGGAAAGATGTTAACTCAGCCTCTTCCTAGAGCTAAGGAGGGGCTGGCTAAAAAACGCAGGAGTTTGTCAGGGAGCAAAACAGCATTCTAGGAGGAGGAAGAGGTATAGACAAGGGCATTTGGGACCAGTCTGGCCTCTGTCCAGCCCATTCATCACAATGCTGTTAGGGCGATATTTCAAGAAGGGATGAATCTTCTGCCATTTCCCTTTGCTCTTCTGAGAAAGGGAAGCTACAAGTACTTAGGCTTAAGTGGCTCTTCCCTCTAACTTTCACTCTTCACTCATCCTGTTCTTTATACTGTCCATTTGAATGGTTTCCGATTCCCGAGCTGGCCATATTTTCTTTTACTGCTGGACCTGGCATGTGATGCTGTCACTCTGTCCTGCACTTTGTCCTGCTATTTACTTTTTGGTCTAACATTCAAAGATTCAGTTCAGAAGATGCTTCATCTGCAAAGCTCTCCTAGGTGAAGTGAGCTGCTCCCGTGTGGCCCCGTTGTAGCCCCTGGCTCTTCCTCTGTTACCTCAATGACCACTGTATATTTTAATTATTTGATTACTCCAAACTGTAAGTTCCCTGAGGATAAGGAATATGTCTTATCCTGTTCATCCTTGTGGTCATGTCGCCTATTAACATACCAAAGAATAAATGTTCGAATGATTAAAAAACTGAATGTTGGGGTTCCAAATAATGGAGTCATCCAGAAAAGATGGGGTCAATAGATTCATTTACTTTCTACATTCACCTCTATCCCTTCCTTACCTAGACAAAGGCAATCACTGCCTGAGTCTTCCTGCTTCCAGGCTTGCCTTTCCCTATTCATTCTCCATTGGGCAGTTGAAGCAGTCTTTTTAGAAAAGTGAATTGGATCATGACACCCTCTTGTTTAAAGCTCTTTAGTGCTTGCCACGGCCCTCAGTCTGAAGTAGAAACACTTAACATGGTTTAAAAAACCTCTTGATGACCCTGCCAGGCCCTCTAGCCTGGTCTTCCCCCACCCCCTATTCTCTCAGCAGAGACATAGCACGGATTTCATTGTCTGTCTTCTGCCTTTACCAAACATCCTGATCTCACTACCTGGCTAACTCCGACTCATCCTTCCCCCAAGACATTCCTCAGAGATTCTTTCCTGACCTCTGCAGACTTGGGTAGGTCTTCCTGTTATACACTCCCCATACTCCTATGCTTTTTATAACATTTATCATCCTGGTAATTACATATGCTCTGTACTCCCCTTTGGAGTCTTTAAAGCAACAGAGATTAAGTCCTGTGCCAGCACTTAGCACAGTACCCGGCATCATAGCACATACTCAGTCAACATGGTGACTAAGAGAAGCCACCTCCTACCATTTACTGCTCATGAAGTCTGTTAGATGTCGCTAATAATTACTTTAAGGCCATAAAGAGTTTTAAGAATTTTTAGATAAAAAGTTTAATAAGTACAGTTCCTTTGTGATTACTTTGCTTTTTACTAGAGGCTGGGAGAATAAATGAGATCTCTGTCTTATACAGATACAGATACAAACGTAGATACAAGGTAGCTTTAATAAAATTTGTTGAAAACCAAGAAAATTTGTTTTACATTATAAAATGAGAAGTTGGGCGTGATTATCATTTATAAATAATTATGTTTGGCGTCATAACTATGATCATAAAATAGTTATTCTACATATTGCTTTTGAAGCTGATATTTTCTATAATTCGTAGACTTACAAATAATCCAAGAAAGCTGATACTTCCCTCAACATAGTAGGTTGATAAAAGGGATCAGGGTTGGAATTTAAGTCATTTGGTAGTTAAGTCACTTAGTCACTTATTTGGATATTTTTCTTACTATAAGTCTATTAGGTGATAGTATCTTTACTACTATTGCTTTTGTTTTGTTTCTTAAATTCTATTTTCTACTCCCTCAGTAATGTTTATTGAAAAGTGATGGCGTACAAGTGAATGGTTTAAAATATGTCAGTCACCCTGGAGACTAGAGTGATTTTGCTCCCTGACTCGTAGGGTGTAGTGAGAGGGTGGCACAGTAGCAAACGTGAGGGACCAGGTTCACATTATTGAACATTGGTTTCGCCAGGCTTTGTACAAGGTATTGTGAGTCTGCTGTTGTATTATATTCCCCATTTACATGTGAAAAAACTCAGGTTCACAAAGGTTGAGTAATTTGCCCAGTCATCTAACTGGTAGGAAGCAGTTAGGATTTAAACCTATATTTCCCTGACTTAGAAATTCATACTTTTTCCTTCAGTCCCCATAGACTCTGTACGCTTCTTTAAAGTTCTAAAAATGGAAAATCTTACATTATTTCTGAAAGTGTGGTACCTACTTAAGGTTAATTTCCTTTTCATTTTATATTGAGGTGTTTGTCCAGTGATCATTTATTATGAGCATGGACTGTCTGCCAGGCAGCATGGGGAATATGGGATTAGAAAACCTACTAGGTTTCTATGGATCTTAACTCATGCTGGAAAACAAAATATGGACATGCATATGAAACAGTTTGAATCCAATTCCAGTTCAGTGTGTGACCCAAAGCAAGAAAAAGGTGGGACACAGATTTTAAGTGCTGAGGAAACAGAGCAAGGGAAGGATGAGGCTAGTTAGCGTTTACCAGGGAGTGGATGATAAGGGACAGCAACACGAACTCACATAATCTCCTCTGTCAACATCTCTGTTGGAAACTTAAGGGAAGGGAAAGCTTGAGAAAAATCAGCTGACCAATGTACTATAAACTTTCTTATAGAAGAGAATAGTAAAGTTGTTGAAGAATTAATAGAAGAAAACAATGACATGAAGAATAAATTGGAAGAACTGAGAACACTTTGTAAAACACCACCCAGGTAGACTTTTCCTATTTTAAAGAAACTGTTTATTTCTAAGTATAACTATCCTTAATTGTTTTAAAATATTCATTGTTCTGTTATACAGCAAAAAGTTTAAAAAGAGGGCAGTGCCTATAGCTCAAAGGAGTAGGGCGCCAGCCCCATATGCTAGAGGTGGCAGGTTCAAACCCAGCCCCGGCCAAAAACTGCAAAAAAAAAAAAAAAGTTTAAAAAGAAGAAAGTCTTCCAAAACCCCATCCTGTGAAGATACCCTCTGTTAACTCTTACTTTGTATCTGTTAAGCCTTTTATAAGGCTGTTATCTGTTAAGCACACCATGTGCATGATGCATTTTAAAAGTTGAGATTATTGTATAAGGTATTTTTAACCTTTTATTAACTTAATATTATTGGATGAGCAATTCCTTATGTTATTAGATACTGAATCTATGGTATGCTTTTCAATAGCTGCATAAATTTTTACCATGTTGATGATTTACTATTACTTAAGTAACTATAAAATTTGTTTCTATTTTTTTCTTATTTTAAATGTATAGTGGAAATCCTTGTATATGAAATTTTTAGCATGTCTCATTATTTATTAGAATATATGGATACACGTATGTATATTTCAAATGCAGTTTTCGCTTGCCAGCTCTGATTTTGCCATCTTTGGTTTGTTTTTAGGTCATTGTCAGAAGGAGCCATTGAAAATGCTTGCCTGCCATGCAGTGGGGAGGCCTTGGAAGAACTTCGTGGGCAGTATATTAAAGCTGTAAAAAGAATTAAGCGTAAGTCTCTAAAGGGATTCCCAAGATTTTAGGGGTGGATTTGGTCTTGTTTATTGTTGGTGTTAAGTGTGAACTGAGAGGTTACAAGCATTAGTGTTTTTAGGGAATTTTCCGAACTAATTTACTCCTCAATCTTAGAGGAGATTATTGATATGTTTTGAAAATTATGCATAATGGATCACTTTGCCCAAATAATAATTTTTGGAAGTGATGTGAGAGCGATGTTATTTTTGTTAATTATCCTGTTTGCTTTTTAGACACTGGTATTAAACTAAAAATTTGATAATCTTACAATTAGTAGCAAAGAAAATGTCACCAGTTTTAAATTAGAAATTATTACTTCCTACCATAAACTTTTAAGGACTGTGGATCTAATTAGCAGTTGTTGTTTCTCGTTATTTCCGATAGCTGTAGATTTATGGAGTCCTCCTGATGATCAGGTGGTGCCAGCGTATCCTGCAAATCACTCCCCTGGTGTGTGTTTTCCCAGTGTAGGATACTTCCGAGATTTTAATGACACAACTGCACAGAGTGGTTGTGTGTCCCAGTACTATATAACCCCTGTTTAAATAGGAGAAATATAGATTTACCTCCCCCAAATGCATTCATTTTTAACAAAAAGAGCAGAGAAGAGGTTTCAAGTTTCAGATATAATTGGTAGATGTCAGAATCACGTGTAGCTCACTTATTTATTACCCATGAAGGGGCTTCACGTCTCAGCTGCTGCTGCTGCTGCTAACAAAAGGTGTATTACTATGGACAACTTCTTGTCAATAATCTATCGTTTGGGAAGCGAAATGCTGAAGCATTTTAAAAATCCTCATTTAATAATTTGTGTGTATGTGTATGTATAGTGATTTAGTTACATTTCAGACACTTGGTTGTAGGTTTTGTGTTGCCATATACTTCATTTTATTTTTTCCCATTTCAAATAATCAAAAATGGTCTCCCAGTTAGTATTTTTGCATAGAACACCAAATTTTCAGATGCTTACTCTCATTAAGAAGGACATTCTTATATGAATTGATATCCTTAATATAATAAAGATGGTAAAGTTCTAGATATAGGATGAAGTCTTGATTTAGTTAAAAAAAAAAAAAAGTCTTAACTAATAGTAGTCCCAATCAAAGCTCTGTTGAGTTAAAGATAAAAAGAGAACTTGAAAGCCGTGAGCTACGTTAATAAGTAGATTTCAGAAGGTAGCCGCAGTCTATGCCATACCACTCTGAATGTGCCTGCTCCCCTCTGGTCTGGGAAGCTAAGCAAGGCTAGCATGGTTAGTACTCGGAAGGGAGAAGACAACATAAATCTTACCACCCTCACATTTTTATATGTAACTCATGGATTATAATATTGTATTCAGTTAGACCCGCGATGTGTGCTGCTGAAAAGGTTGAATATGTAATGGAATGTGGATTTCAGAGCGTAGGAGAATAATGAGTCTCTCCAGCTTGTATTGTTCCTTTTCTACTTCTGTCTTTCAGTGTCTGCTTTTCTCTTCCTTGCGGCTTCACCTTTTCTGTAGGTTTCTTTTTTCTCTTCTTTTAACTGGACATAATGTACAATTGAAATTATGTGAGTTTCCATGCCTCATCTATGTGGTATTTCTTGTGTAAGTATTTTAGAGTATGACAGAATTTCTCTGGGGACTATGCCATGTTTCCTCACTATGTGTAGCTATCATCATGACTTACAGATTATTTCTCACTGGAGTCTACCAAGATGGTGATCTAAAATATTCCATTTCAATGACCATGGAAAGTAGAATGTTTCAGCTATACCCCCAATCGCTTCATCTCCCAGAAAATTGTTCTGACTTCTGCCCCTCCTGTTTCTGGAAAAGTGCCAATAAACATGCATTTTGGGGGGATTTCCTTACCCCCTATAGGTGACATGCTTCGTTACATTCAAGAGAGTAAGGAAAGGGCTGCAGAAATGGTAAAAGCAGAGGTGTTGCGAGAACGTGAAGAAACTGCCCGAAAGATGCGCAAATATTATTTGATCTGCCTCCAACAGATTTTGCAAGATAGTGGAAAAGAAGAAGGGTAAGTTCAGTCCAAGCACATAACGTGTCAGCAGCACGTTGTCATTTTCTAAGCATTTTCTTTAACCACAAAATTAACTATTTCTACATGATCAGCCATTGGGGATTAAGAGAGGTTTATGGCTGTGTTTCCCTAAATGTTGGCAGACCTAATAGGAAAACAGAAATCCTGGGGCTAAGGAAACTCATTTTTTCCTTTATAACTGTATTAATTTAATATTGTGGAATTCCCCACAGGGCCGAGAAAAAGATTATAAATGCTGCTAGCAAACTTGCCACAATGGCAAAATTGCTGGAGACACCTATTTCTAAAGGATCCCAGAGCAAAACTACACAATCAGGTACGTCAAAGTGAGTCACTCGAAGTTTGTTCTCTTCTTGTTTGGCTATGTAATATTTTCAGTATGAAGAAGAGCAGGAATGTAAAGAATGAGAGTTAATTTATAGTGTTGTGTATGTTTTACTTAAACTGGACATGTATAGAAAAGGGTATAGCGTTTGCAGTTCAGATAGGCAGAATGGGTGTGTGCATCAGCTTCCCATCAGTGGATCCATCCTAGAAGTGATAGAAACGATTTGAAACAACAAAAAGTGAGAAAAAGAAGACATAACTGGGTTGGTTTTTTGTTGTTGTTCTTGAAACAGTCTCTCTATGTCACCTTTGGTAGAGTGCTATGGCATCACAGCTCACAGCAACTCAAACTCTTGGGCTTAAGCAATTCTCTTGCCTCAGCTTCCCAAGTAGCTGGGACTATAGGCGCCCATCACAACTCCTGGCTATTTTTTGTTGCAGTTATCATTGTTGTTTTTAGCTGGCTTGGGTGAGGTTCGAACCTGCCACCCTCAGTATATGTGGCTGGCACCGTAACCACTGTGTTACGGACGCCAAGCCAATAACTGGGTTTTGAAAGGTTGCAAGGAATATACCAGTTAACTATAAGAAATACCTGAAAGAAAGAAGACAGTCTAGGATTAAAGATGGAAACCTCAGTTCAAAACCACCAGAAAATGACAGCTATAGAAAGAAGAATATTAAAACTATTCCATATATTTAGATGGGGGTGGGGTGGGTCCTCAGGAGAAGTAGTAGGCCTACAAGACCTACCCCCCTACCAGTGGGGTGATTAGTTCATGTTCTAGGTGAGGTCATCCTCTTCATATTTCTTTCTGTCCGCTCCTCCCTAACCCCAACATTGGGCTGGGCAATAGCAGCAGGAACAAAGAGTCTGGGGACAGAGCAGGGCTGTGCTCTCGGTGGTTAGCCTAGTCAAGCAGGAGCTGGGAGCGCATGTGCCCAGAGTGTCAGCCATTAGGTCTTTCCATTCTGCAATTTGTTCCATTTCTCCCTTATTCCCCTCCCAAACCCTAGAGTATTCAGTACATCTTAAAGGTAAGTACTTCACCAGGCATCATTATACATTTACAGAAAGCTATCACATTGCAACAAAAGACACCAAGCTATTGGTAAAAAAAAACAAACAAAAAATGAACTTACATATAAGGAAATAGAATTATTATTAATAATAGAACAAACAACAGGACCTGAGAATGCTAAAAAGTATTCTTAGATGTAAGAAGATATGGTAGAAGTAATGAAAAAAAAAAAGCTAAGATTTTTACTGCTTTCAAGAAGAGAATATAAATACTGATAACACCAGCCATTGCTATAAAGGTACAGGTTGAAGTACATTGAAATTTAAGAGTTCAACTACAAAGAAATAAAAATAGACCATACAGCTTTAAAACTGGTAAGGGAAATATTTGAAAGAAAATATTTTCAATCTAACAAAATCAGCAAAGAAGAAAAAAATCTAGAAAGCTTGGGAACCAAAATAATAGTAGGTTGAAACATCAGTCATACTAAATATATAAATATGTATCTATATATATGTACATATATATAGGTTAAACTCATTTGAAGAGTTCAACATTAAAATAGGGTTTTCAAAATTATGGATATTTGCTATTTTTACAAGAAGAACATCTAACATTCAAAATGTATAGGTGGAAAGGAATATACCAAGGAAATGCAATGTCGATATTAGATAAATTATAGTGATAAATATAATATTAGCTAAATTAGAATTAGCATTCAAAGGAACAAAGATGATCATTCATAATGATAATGAAATATTCTCCCAAGAAATTATGGATAGGTTTTGTTTATAATAACATAGATTTAGAGTATGTAAAGTAAGAGCTGAAAGAAATACATGAAAAAAAAGGTTAATACTCAGTCACACTGGAAAATTTTAACATAGCTGTAGGGAAATGGAGTCGTTGAATCTCTGGAAAACTTGAAGCAGAGAATGTTTAGGAATCCATGAGTCTGATGTTGGTAAACTCCTCAGGTAGAAGCATAAATGTTATTTGTATAAATTTTGCAATGGTAATACGAACCTTAAGTATAAAAGGGCGATATGATATAACCAGAAAACTTTCTAGACCTGCATCAACAGTATGCAGATAATGACCCCAGTAGAAGTAAACCCTTTCCATAGACTCTGAGGAACCAAGGTACCCTACTCTGAGATAGGAGCCTCTAAATCTCTGCTGTGTGGTTGCTTTGCTGTTGATCAGATATAGTATCCTAGCCAATTAAATCAGAAACTCTAGCTTTTACAGAAGTGTGTGCAGGTGTTGGGTCGGTAGGGTTCCTTCAGTAAACTCCTTCATCAGAAACTCCATACTTAACACTGAAATCAGAGCAGGATTGAAAACATAGTTGGCTCTTAAGATGCTGTAACATCTATTGCAGAAAATGTAATAGATCAGATGAATAGCAATAATATACCAGATTTCAGTAACTAAATTACCAAGCTTTATCTAGTGGATATATGTGAAAGAATATTTTTAAATGCCCAGCAATGATGTATTTTCTTTTTAAGAACAATTACTATGTATGCCTTCTTTGAAAAGAAAAATTCTTCTTTGAAAAATTATGGAAACATAATTTTTTTCTTGTCTTTAAAGGTTAATTTTCTCTTAATGTTGTGTTCCCCTAACTTTGTGTTCCCTTGTACATAGTAGCACTGCCCCTGACTTCAGAGATGCTGGCTGGAGTTGAAAAATCAAAAAGAAATGATACGAATCAGAATATACCACGTTACACTGAAGGCAAATCAAGCAGTGCAAAAACTGTCCCCGGAAGCCCGTGCGAACAAGTTCCTAAGCGGAAGTCTGTTCGTAACTTACGAAGGCTGGTGGAGAATGCAGAGTATGGGGACGCAAAGCATGTGGGTTCCAAAAAGTCCCAGTCTGACTTTCAGTTTGGGGATAGTAGTTGCAAGCACCTAAACATTTTGCCTAGGAATATTTCTTCTGAGTTTTTTCCTTGCCAAGGTGAAGGAAGCTTTGGTTTACACAAGAAGAAAGACCTAGTGAGTGATCCTGGTTCTGAGTCACTTCTTCATTCAGCGGCATACCCCTTTCTTGGGACTGTTGGAAATAAAACCTCACCTGGATGTAACCTGGGTCTTTCTGAGTCAGGATCCACACATATAACCTCTCAAGATCCTAATGAGAGACCTGGTTTAAAAGTATATCCATGTGATCCACAAATGGAAAGAGAAAACACCACATCTGAGAAAAGTCAAGGTTTGGGTGTTCAGGAAACTCCAGTAAAGGATGGAGGGGACCTTAGTGACTCCCTGGGCTGGCCTTCCAGCAATGCGACTCTACCCTGTGACAGTCATGACGCGTCATTTGTGCATGGTAGGCCACAAGGACCCCTGGACATACTAGGTGACTCTGTTGATTTCAAACAGTTTGCAGTAACCAGTTGTGTTTCGGATACAGAGAAAAATAATATGAATTGTCAAACGATGAAATGTCAGCGTGATCAAACTCCAAATCTATTAGAGGGAATCACTAATTCCCAGCCAGGGAAGATCAGTGCAACGCTTGGACACTCACCTCATCATAAGACAAATACGTTAAAGTCAGATTTCAAAAAACTGAACAGTGCGGTGCCATCTTCAGTGTGTCTGCAGTCTTCAAGAAAGTTGATTGCTCCCCTACCTAGTCAACAAGATAGTGGCTTCGATAGCCCTTTTGTCAATCTGGGTTAATTGTTGTACAGTGTTTATGAAGAATCATTAATATATAGACGTGAAAACTGGAAGGGAAGACTTCATACTGAAATTATGGGTTCTGCCTATTTTGAGATGTTTTAATAACATCTATCATATGAGTAAAGTATTCTCATGAAATTACCTGAGGTATTTATGTTGCCTTAATCTTGTAAAGGCCTATGGTGTATGTGTAATATGCTTCTGTGTGGTGCTTGTATTTGTTGCTAAACCATCTATTTTTATACTTATAAATTGGTTCTCTTTTCAGTGTTAAATTATTTAAATAAACTTGGCATGTGGTCTGTAGAATTGTTATGAATTATTTTATAGTTCATAATACAGAAATGTATTGACATCATTTTTGAATTCACCGAGAGAAAAACAAACTCTGATTATCTGAATGTATGAGCAGCCAAATTTAAATTTTGAAATGAGCCATGTTTAATGAGGCTACAGACTTAACACCACATACCAAAGGGTAGGATCAGGAAGGGACCCCACGGAAGTGGTTTTCACACATCTGGTTGAGGTGGACAACTGAACATGTGAAAATAAAACATTGGGGCCCTCAGCCCCCTCCATCCCCAATTGGTATTCCACTGTTAATCTCGCCATACTTCTCCTGGAAGTAGCTACCCAAAATCTTGATTCTTGTTCTCTCCCTCTCTCTCTCTTTTTAATTCCTGTTTTCAGTAAGAGAAAAGAGGTTTTCCACAAAATACATAGCTGTGTCTTGGGTTTATTATTTAAATTATTATTCTGAACTTCTTTAGTTGATATTTGTATTATTTTAGAACACCTGTGACATCCAAGAGCTTTATCTTTTTCATAGTTTCACAGTTTTTCTTTCCTCTAAAATACTACTTTTTGAAAATTGAGGAAATAAACTATAGCAAAACATTTAAATTATTAGATTTTTACATTCATTTATAGTGCAGAATTGGCTGACTTAATGCTGTGGGTTGCAGCTTATCATTCTTAACTGAAGAGCACATGCAGAAATGAATGACTACATAAATTTCTTAAGAATGACTATGGAAATACTATTATTTCTTTTTTTTTTTTTCTTTTTTTTCGAGACAGTCTCATTTTATCACCCTCAGTAGAATGCCATGGCATCAGCTCATAGCAACTTCAATCTCTTTTTATTTATTTATTTATTTTATTGTTGGGGATGCATTGAGGGTACAAGAAACCAGGTTACACTAATTGCATTTCTTAGGTAAAGTCCCTTTTATATTTGTGTCTTGCCCCCAAGCAACTTCAATCTCTTAGGCTCAAGAGATCCTCTTGCCTCCCGAGTAGCTGAGACTACAGGCACCTACCACAGCGCCTGGCTATTTTCTTTAGAGATGGGGTTTCACTCTTGCTCAGGCTGGTCTGGAACTCCTGAGATCAAGCTATCTACCCACCTCGGCCTCCCAGAGTGCTAGGATTACACATGTGAGCAGAGCCTGGCCTACTGTTATTTCTAAGTAAATTCTTTTTGCGATTCCTAGAAAAGATTGTGATCATTTTAGGTCTATGCAAGTGCTTCCTGGAAGCAGTTACTATAGCTTTCTGTCATAGCTCTCACTCCAACCGTATTTTGGGCTATATTTTGGACTGGATTCATTAAATTTTTCCACTGAGAACTAGGTAACTTGGGTAGTAGTGTTAGGGAGCTGAGGCGGGGGGCAGGATAGCATGACACAGCCTCCTCTTCCTGGTATCTATCTCTAAAAGCAAGAACCTAGAAATGAAATTTCTAGGGCTTGGAAATTTGTCACCTTAGCTGGTGATCATATTTAGATAGGCCTAAAAATTAACACTAGATTTCAGTGCTGACTTGACATATTGCAGTAGTAAGGAACAAACCATCTTATAAGACAATACATGGCCTACATTATTACGTTACAATTCATGAAGGTAAAATACCCCTTTCCAACAATCAGGAGAAAGAAACTCTCACGCTAGGGAAACTTCTAAACCTACCACGTTTTTGTTTTCCATGGATCTAGTTGGTGCTGGATGGTTTTAAGACCTGGGCATTACTGAACTGAGAATTTAGCTCATTGCTCACCTATCTTTTTATCTCTGTTTAAAATCCGTGTCAGTTATGTAAACCCTTAGCGTGAAGGTTGAAATCGGAAATCTTGTTTATTGCTACTTTTTGGGTATCCTTAATCTTTTTTGATACTCATTATCTCAATAGGAATAAGTTACTTTATTTTCTATACCCTATATCCAACCAAGGGAGGTATCAATTTATTAGTGAGCAACTACACAGCCCACCTATGACGAGTGTTTTACATCAATTTGAAAAGTGACGGAAGAGGGAGGGCGTGAACCTCACAGCTGTCATGGTCCCATAAATCTCACCTTGTTGCAGTGTTTACATTCATTTTATTTTATGTGATGTGAGATTTCATTTGTTAATGTTATGTTAAGGATTTTCATGTGTTTGTTCATGAGGAATATCTTGTTTTCTTGTGATACCATTGTCCTGCTTTGGTAAAAGGGTAATACTTTTGGAAATAAGTTGGAAAGTGTTCCCCTGCCATTGTTTTCTGACAGAATTGGGGTAGTATTGGTATGACTGCTTTTTTTATGTGTAGGATTCACTAGGTAAACCCATGTAGCCTGCTGGACTTGGGGGGAGTATTAAATAATATCTATTTTTTTATTATAGAGCTATTCATAATTTTCTTTAATCAGTTTTGATAATTTTTGGTTTTTGAAGAATTTGGCCATTTCATCTAAGTAGTCTAATGTGTTGACATAAAGTTAGCCATAGTAGTCACTTGTAATCCTTTTAATTTCAGTAGGAAAGATAATGATGTCTCTTATTTCATTTCTGATTTTGATATTCTGTGTTATCTGGTTTTAGTCAATCTACCTAAAAGTTTATCAAGTTTGTTGGTTTTTTCCCCTCCAAAGAACTTTTATTTTTATTTTTTTTCTGTTTCTTATTTCATTGATTTTTTTTTCTTCCTGATCTTTATTTCCTTCTTCCTGATTTGCTTTAGGTTTAATTCACTCTTTATCCTTAAAGTGAATGTTTAATTTATTGGGGTGAGATCATTTTCTCCGGATACGTTTAAAGCTCTGATTTACCCTCTAAGCACTACTTACGGTACACCTCACTAGTTTTGACATGTTGTATTTTTGTTTTTATTTAGTTCAAAATATTTTCTTATTTCCCTTTTGGTATTGTTTTTGACCCATGGGCTTTTTGGGAATATGTTCCTTTGTTGCCAAGAATTGGGGATTTTCCGAATTTCTTGTTTATTTTTAATTTCTTTGTTGTTGGAGAAGTATGCTTTGAGTGGTTTCAGTCCTTTTAAATTTCTCAAGACTTGTTTTATGTCCCAGCATGTGGTCTGTCTGGAGTATGTTTCACATACTGCTGTCCTTAGATGAAAATGTCAGAATGTCAGTTGGTTGGTTGATAGTGTTGTTCAAATCTGCTGTAGTCTTGGCAGTTTTCTTCCTACTTGTTTTGCTAGTTATTAAGAGTGGGATAATTCAATCTTTGATTGTAATTGTTAAATTGTCTATTTTTCCTTTCTATTCTGTCAGTTTTTGCTTTGTGTATTTTGAGGCTCTTTTGCGGGTACATGTGGTTTATTGGTACATGCATAGGATGTGTGATGATTGAACTAGAACAACTGGGACATCCATCACCCTGAACACTCAGTTCTTTATATTGAGAGCCTTGCAATTCTTTTCCTCCAGCAATTTTGAACTATACAACAAATTATTAACTATAACTACCCTACTGTACTAGAGAGGTTATTTAATAGGTATAAAAATGCAATTATTTTTTCCCTCTTTTTTTATAGTTGCTATCTTAAAAAAATTGATATTCCTTAAGTCATTGTCAGCATATTTTCCTTTAATTCTTTAAATTTCCCTTTAATTTTAAAAACATAATAGCTGCTTTTTGTAGTTTATTTCTTATGGTAAGAACACAAGAAGATATGATATACTCTCTTAATAAATTTTTAAATGTACAATAAAGTGTTGTTAACTATAGATACAACATTGTACAGCAAGTCTCTCAACTTTATTCATCTTGAATAACTAGAACTTTTAATCTGTTGAACAGCAGCTCCCTATTTCTCCCTTCCCTCATCAGCCTCTGATAACCAACATTCTACTTACTGTTTCTGTGAGTTTGACTATTTCAGATACTTCATATAAAAAGAATCATGCAGTATTTGTTTTTCTGTGACTTATATACTGTATTAAGTTCAATATCTGCACATAGATTTTCTTGACAACTTTTTTCTTGATTATGGGTCACATTTTAATAATGTTGATCTACCAATCCATGAATATGACATGTTTTTCCATTTGTTTGTGTCATATGCAATTTCTTTCCTCAGTGTTTGTAGTTCTCCCTATAGAGATCTTTCAAATTCTTGGTTAAGTATATCCCTAGTTTATTTTCTTTGTAGCTATTGTGAATTGTATTGAGTCTTTCCTTTTATTCTAAGGTTAACTGTTATTGGTATATAGAAATATTATTGATTTGCATATTTTGATTCTGTAACCTCAGACTTTACTGAATTTATTTATCAATTCCCAGGGGTCTCTTGATGGAGTCTTTGAGATTTTTCTGGATACAAGATCATATTATCAGTAAAGAGTAACAGTATGACCTCCCCTTTTTCAATTTGGATACCCTTTGTTTCTTTCTCTTGTATGATTGCTATGATTGCTGTAGCTAGGACTTCCATCACTATGTTGAATAGAAGTGGTAACGGTGAGCACTCCTGTTTTGTTCCAGTTCTTGGCGGGATGGGGGATACTTTCAACATTCACAATTCAGTATGATGTTGGCTCTAAGTCTGTCATATGTGGTTTTTATGATTTTGAGATGACGGCCTTCTATGCCCAGTTTGTTGAGGGGTTTTTATCATAAAGTGTGCTGAATTCTGTCAAATGCTTTTTCTGAATTTATTGAGATGATTGTATGATGGTTTTTTTTTTTGTTTCTGTTTATGTGGTGAGTCACATTTATTGATTTGCATATGTTGAACCATCCATGCATCCCTGGGATGGCCTCCACTTGGTCATGGTGGCTTATTTTTTTGATGTGTTGTTGAATTTGGTTTGCTGGTATTTTATTGAGGATTTTTATATTTATATTCATAG